CAGTGCAGGAGTTCCATCAGTGGCAATCGACATAATATTCGCAAGAGGATTTTTCTCTGTTAAATAATCTTGGACAGTATTAAAAATAGATTTACTTTTAGTATCTACAATCAAGCTTCTTGCAAAAAGCATCTCTTGACCACTTTTTCCTACCTTTCCGAACCGGACCTACGCCTACAGTAAAGCTTGCATTGAATGGCAAGGTTGATTCCTCAACTTGAAGGAAAAATTCGTTGGATATCAAAAGTTTGCTTAAAGAAGCTTCAACATCTTTAGACATCTCACCATTTCGTAACCCGCACTGTATCGTTGCTTAATGGGATATTTTGGATTACATTGGATGTGGCTGGATGGCGTAAAACTGTTTCTAAAACTTCCTTGACAACAGGCAGTATCAATTCTGATACGATAGTATGAGCCTTCCCAGAATTAGCAATAAATTTTGATATATTATAAGAAGCTATCAAACCATCGTCGCATTTTTGTGATGAGATTGCTAGCAACCCGGAAACCTAAGGTGCTTTCAGAAACTTGTCTTTGATGTTCGCGAAAAATGACAAATCTTTATTTTGTTTGCCAGGATGACTTTTTTGCAAATGCTCCTGCTAACGGAAAGATTTCATTTTCTCATTAGATAAAACTTTGTTACAAAGTAAACACATGGGCAGTTGAGAGTTCAATAGCGATTGAACAAATCTAAACTTCAAGTACGTGGCACGGTATTGATGATACTTCTTTTTGTTAACCGAGATTGTTGGTGACAGCAAAGTACAAGCGATGAAAGAAAATCAATTATTTCTCCAAATTAATAAATAATTTATGGTAAAGAACTAATTCGCGCATATACCTGGCCAAATAAACAATGAGATCGAATCGAAACTGGGAAAAAACTGTAAGGAAGGTAACGAAAATCATCATAAGAAACACGAGTCAAATCAAACATTCATACCGAAAGCTCATACACTTCGATTTCTGTCAAATGACTTGAATGAGTCAGAGCCATTCGCGAAATAGCTATGATGAATCAGAGGCAAAAACTACAGGCTCATGAGCTGCGCTGTGTTGGTTCGGATCGGAGGAAGGGTGTCGTATAAGTTCGTTTTATCGGTGGTACAAAAGGCGTAATAATCTTAATGTATTATGTCAATTTGATCTTTATTTTTCTTTATTATTAATTTTTGATTAATTTCATTTATTAAATAAATTTAATTTAATAATTTTATCTGTAAGTTTTAAAATTAAATTTGAATGTCAAAAATGCTCATCGCCCCTCTACCGCCCAAAACATACCCAACGCCCCCCTAGTGCCCAAAACAAGTTCACCGCCCCTCAGCATACTCCCAACGCCCCCAGGGGGGCGGTATCGCCCCCGTTGAGAAACAATGATGTAAAACGAATAGCGTTTTCATACGCCACGGAGTGACTATACGCCGAAATAGTTTAGGGTTGAATTAATTATGAAAACGTTGAATAGAACAATGTGAACCGCGTCTTTTTGCATAATTCGAAGCGAAAATCTCATTTTGAAAAAGGGAAAATTAAGCACTTTTTAAAAACTCACATTTAAGGGCTTTTAAGAAACGAAAATCAAAAATAAGCACCTTTGGGCACTTTTTAAAAACGCTACGCACCCTGTTAGTTTACTTAAAATATATTTAAAATTTTACACATACCAATGATGACTTGGAGAAGTAATTAAAATTTACAAAGATGTCTTTCTTTGTTGAGTTTATGATTATAATAACTATTTACTGATAAAAAAATGAATATTAATCTTGAATATAAGCTGATAAAATATCTGGCTCTCCCTTACAAACAAATAAAATAAACTGAGTTTAGCGAAAAATCCGGATTTTTTCCGGAGCACAATCAGCCCTGCTTTAGGCCGTCAATCACACTCAAGGGTGTGGCATGCTGATTTCGTTTTCTGCTTGATTTACGAGGGGGGTGGGGAAAATGCATTGCATGCATATCAGTGAACAGAAAAATATATTTATTTGACATCGACTAATAAAAATAAAATCTTTTTCTTTTGAATAAATTCTCATTCTTTGGAAGTGCGGTATCAATTGCAAGTTTTTCTTGGTGTGGAATCACATCTGCTGTAATTAAAAATCTTGTTTTTATCAACAAAAAAATAAAAGGAGAATTGTTTATTAATTTAAACATAGGATTATTTTATGAAGCAGATTGCAGTTTTGTTTTTCTGGTTCCACTACGTTTGATTTTTTTTTCTTTTCGCACTCAATAAATTAATTCTTTTCATTCATAAATTTTATCATTAGGTTTTTTTTTTTTTTTAATTCCGTTGATCTTGCCTTGTTCTGGGTTTTAGCCTTTTTTAACTATCGTTTTGGTTCGATAATTTTCAAGTGTTTTTATTTAGATTAATAAGTTTTCCGATTATTTAATCGTTCCCCCCGTATAATTAGGTATGAAATATATTGCGATATTTAATCATTGGTTTTGTTTATATTATTTAATTTAGGAATTGTAATTATTTTTAAAAAATAAATATGAGAATTTTGTATTTTTTAAACTTTATTTTCTTGTCTAAACTTGCAATTTTTTTAATTCTTTTAAATGTTGTATTTCTACCTTTCTTTTTTCTCTTACTTTATGCATTACACTCTTTCCTTGTACTTCAGGTTCGATAAAACATCGATTAACGACACTTTTTGGTCGATCCAGAAAACTGGGAAATTCAGATATCCGGGATAGCGATGGTCCCGAGCATCCCGGATAATTGGTTCTCTACTGTATTTTAAAAACAAAGCAGAAGTTAATTTTTAGGATATCAATAATCAAATAGTAACAAAAATATTACCCCACGAGTCCTAGAACAGGTAAATGCATTCGGATTTCAGAATGAAAATTATCGTCAATTGCTTTAATTTTTTTTTTATTTATTTAGTTATTTATTTGCAATTTAGTATCAAAATTATGATAGCTAAATCATATTTTAATTTTTGCTTGCAAACTCCGTAATATTTTATTTAAAAACGGCTCGTGGCCGCAATAAGACAAGACCAAATTTAATTATTTGTCATCATAGGAGGTAAATCAGTAACGGATATGTTAAATTAGTTTATTGTGTCCTATTGCACTGTGCAATATGTGATAAAATGCTTAAAAGAAGGACTTCATATCAGAGATTAAAATAAAATTTGCGGAAAAATTCATAAATTCGCAATTGAGTGCCTGCACGAATTTAACCCAACAAAAAAAAAAACTAGTTCTATATATTTACAAATTTATAAGTTTTTGATGATTGATTTCGTAAAAATAAACTTTTCCTTTGCTTTTAAAATATTCCATACAGTTTTGTTAAGATGAGAATACATTTTTTATTATTAAATATCCATATTAATTAATGGATAGTCTTATTTCAATGAAAGTCATAAGTATACCAACACTTTTGCGAGTCACTGTTATTATATTTCAATATAAAGCTGTACTGCATTTTATCTTACAAGTTGTTTTTTATAAAACATCTCAAGTCAAATTTTTAAATAATGTTTTGAATTTGCATTATTATTTTAAGAGATTCAGAATACAAAAACTTTCGATATTCTGACAACTAAACAAAAATCTTTTTTTTAAAATACATTATGAAAGGTTAAAATGAAATAGAAAAAAATTAGCATTAATGGAACAATTGTAACTATTTGTGGACAAACATTGCTGCTAGCGATTGCAAAAAATGTGTGATTGGTTGGTTTAATTATAGAAAATAATTTAGACTTCTTTGAATGAGAGTACAAAAGCTTTTAGAAAAAACGAGTGCAATATAAAATCTATTATTTTTAAATTACAAAAAAACGAGAATCTTATAAAGTTAAAAATACAGAAACATTGTTAAAATAGAAAAAATTACCACCAAAGCATCGGAACAAACTTGAGCTATAAATGGATTCAATTCACGGATAGAATTAAAAAACAGAAGCGCATATCCTAACCCCTTCTTCCACGTCCACCACAATCTTTGTGTTTCCTAAATTGCACAGTCCGATACTCTCCATAGAGATCAAAGGTTTCTACATTTGTTTAGCAACCATGGAAGAATTTTATGTGGCAGTCTAGTTTAACAGGGTAATAATGGAGCAAATTTCGATGCAAGCAAAGTATAGCTAAGTTGATGACATTTTAACCGTTTGAAGATACATTTCCATCTATAAAATGTGGGTATAATGAATGACATAATTTAAACTAAGAAGAAATTTCTAGCTTTTCTTTAAAATTCCCTGATTTTTCCAGCATAAAAAAATTCCATGATAATTCGAGGTTTTCAAGGTGGGTGGGCACCCTGATGTTAACTCAATAATAGCTGATTTAATGAAATAGCATACTTAGCTATTCCCAACAACAGAAAGTGGGATTTTTTGGTAAGCCAACAGGTGCAGAACTACAAAAGAATTCTATATCTGCAGCAAATATGGAAATTTCTAAGAATTATTGTGCAGTCAGACAATTGCGAGTTGAGCTCTCCATCAGGTTAGTTATAAGATCAGCTTATCTCCGAAACCCTCAAGTTTTAAATTACAGATGATTTTACTTAAAATTCACAAGATTTTACACGTTTTCATTTTTTAATACTTATTCAAAGAAACAAACAGTACAGTTACAGGAATGCATTTCAACACAAATAGATCAAATAAATCTGAAACAGTAGAAAAATAAGTTATTTTCTTTGTACTATCAGATGCCTAACAGCTCGTACTATTAGGACGAAGCACAGTGAAAATTCACAAGGTCACAGTTTGAGCAAGGCATGAGGGCCAATTATTACACAGGTATGTGTAAATATAACTAGATCAAAAGTGCAAAATTTTAATTTAATGCATATTTTAAAAATACAGAAGATTTGAGGCTTAGTGCAGAAAGCTCAGACAGTCACAGACTATATATAAATTAAATAATGTGCAAAGCATATTCATTTGGTTAAAATTTAGAAACAAATTTTAAGCATAACTGAGGCACAAAAAAAAGAAGAAACATAGTAAAAATTAAGCAACTCATAAAGAGTTATTTTTATTCTAAGTTACATATGAATAACAGAAGCAATTAGTATATGTCCAATATATAGACATCAGTAAACAGAAAACAAATATACTATTTGGATGAAACAAAATGAGATGAAAAATGAGAAATTACAATACAGATTGGCTATGTTGTCATACTGCCAAAGTTGAAGAGTGAAAACACTATTTTATAAAAGTTCATTTCTAAAGAGATGAAATTAAAATCCTGGATATGTGGTGGGACCCATCATACTTAAATCACGATTGTTGCCACCAGATTGGTAATTGTTGCCGCCAAACAGCTTTCCTGATCCAAAGAAATCAGAGTCAGTCCCACGATCACTGGCTAGAAAGATAGATTTCCATTATTTAGATCATCAAAACTATAAATATCAGAGCTTAAGCACAGTTGCAAGCTTATAAGATGTTGTGAAAAGGTTTTCTTAAAATTAAGTCACTTTACTAATGCAGGGGTGATTATGAGCCCAACTTAAAAATCCTGAAAAATTCCGAGTAAAATCATTAACATTTTAAAATATTGAAATTCTAAATAAATTATATGCAGAATAATTTAAATGAATAATTATGTATAGGTTTACTTTTATCTTCAATCACATTTATTAATCTAAAAGAAATATCCTTAAATAAAATATACAAGAATTTTTAGACATAAATGTGATAGGTGATTTTTGGAAATTTCTAGCGGCTTTCTTGGATCACGGCTAGCGAAAAATGCATTAGATAGATTTTAGTTTAGCAAATGCCTATTATATACACATCTTATGAGGCCAGAATAAGTTAACTCTTTTTAAACTACAACCATACAAGTCAGCAGCAATATCTAAAGAATAAAATTTACCAAAGCCATCTCCTCTGTTACCATTCCTATAATTGTTTGACATTCCATATCCAGCATTTCCAGTATCAGCATTAAATCTGTCAGCTCCAGCAAAGGGCCTTTCTGCAGCTCCACTAAACTGACGCCCACCAACACCATAACCTCTGTCAGGTGCATTGTTACCATAGCCTTGAGTGGAAGCTCCTCTCCCAAAACCTCTATCTGCTACACCACTGTTAAAAGATCTGTCTGTAGTGCTACCAAAACCTCGTTCCCCAGCAGCTGGTGAAAAGCCTTTGTCTGGACCAAATCCAAATTCTCTATCACCTCCACCAAATCCTCTAGCAGAAGCTCCATCTCCAAATCCATCATATTCTCTATCAGGTCCTGAGCCAAAATTTCTACCAGGACCTCCACTAGGGCCAAAGCCACGATCACCCATTCCAGGACCACCAAATCCATCATCCGGACCCATGGCACCATAACCCTCTTCGGAGTCAAAGGGACGAGCTCCTCTGTTGAACTGCCCCATGCCCGAAGGACCCCCATAGGGTGCGTCGTGTCGGAACATGTCAGGTTCAGACTGCAGGAATAATTCAATGTATCGATGTTCTGAAATAGAACAATACAGTTAGTATTCAGCAACATTTTTGAGTGCACAATGTGTCAGAGCAGTTTATACGTACGAATTTTTTCTTTATCTTTTTTCATTGCCCTGACAGCATCTTCGTGAGTGGCAAACATTGCATCTGCTTCTCCAGAAGATCGTCCACTGGATTCATATTTAATTCTTACAGCTACTGGCTTCAACGGAGAAAAAAACTAGAAGAGAAAACTATATTTGTAATGAATTTAATAGTATTGACTCAGGAGTCTGCCTAGGTTTTTATGAGAGGTACCTATTTTGCGAAAATTTAGACTTTATTTGTGAAAATCAAAAATTATATTAAAAAATGAACACAAAAATATGGTAAAGTAAGAAGATATATTCAAAAATTAACACTACGAATAAAATTAATTTATGACTGGGAAATTTTTATATATTTTTCCCCATATTATCAAAAATTATTTTGCTATTGTAAAATTTTGGGCTTAAAATTGCACCTAAATTCAAAAACCCATAAAAATCATTGTCCATTGTTAATTTAAAAACAGGCATTTAACAGTACTTGCACTAAAAGTTATTTTCCAACAGGGTCATATAGAAAAAAGTTTCACAGAGAGTAAAAATGTTTCATTAAAAAAATAAAGGTATGTTAGAATAAATTTTAACTTCCTGTAAAGTTCATCGGCGTTTTGAATTTGTGAAGGTACTGCTAAACGGCAATAAATTTGTCATGGCCAGAACCTGTGATTATTCAACAGAAACTTATAACTTCATAAAACATGACCTACATCAAATATGTCTCTTTCAACAGCTCTAAAAGGCAGACCCCTCATATGCACATTGTGACCAGTATCTCTTATTCTTTCACCTTCATTGAAGCCACCACGCATTGCAAATCCAGACGGTGTTGGAGCACCAGCTCGACGGCCTGCAATATTGTTTAAAAATCCATTAACACAGATATTTTGATTCATGAAAAATAACATGACTTGGAAGTGCATTCTTACCTCCTCGTCCTCCACGACCAAAACCACCAGACCTATCATTTCTATCATATGGACTAGGTCTGCTAGATCCACCCATGCCCCTCATTCGTACAGGTCCCATGCCCATAGCATTCCGAATTTCTTGCAAGCTGCTTTTGAAGATTTCTATATATCTACAAACATTGAATTAGATCAATGTTAAAGGACAACAATTAAAGTATAAAGGTTGAAAGTAAAACAATGCATAATACGCTTACGTATCTTTCATTATGTATGAAAATGTTTAGATAAACTAAAAATAAGCGTAAATAAACAAAAATAAACTAACAATATTTTTAAAAAGCTTAGAATTTGCAATTTAAAGGCCATTCAAATATTACATACAAAAGTATCTGAGGGATGGAGGTTTGCAATTTACTTATTTTGGCTGGTATTGAAAAGGGCAGTATAAGCAAGTTCAAGTAAGACTTAATATCTTAGCTGGGAAAAAAAATCTATTGTTAATTGCACCTGACATAAGCACAGGAGGAGAAGAAAAAAATTTAAGGTTTGCTTATTTTAGTTGACAAGGATGAAAGAAACCCAAAATCACTAAAAATGTTCAAGTAATATTCAAATGGCCAATTAAGTGGATTGAATTATTAGAGATTTGTTATTTTTTAAATCAATCTTCAGAAAATACATAAACAAACGAAGTATTTTCTTCTAATATAATTCAGTTATTTATTCTACGGTTCAATTTCATACTTTAAAATTGTGCAATTTGAGATTAATCATTGCTACGATTTTGACTAACATCAGAATTTAGGAATCTCTCTAAAAGTGTGGAATCTACTGAAATAAGAGCCACAATAAGCCACACGGCTTGAAACTTAAAATCTATTCAAAGTGGAATCAAGCAATAATAATCTAAATCAGGTGAGGCAAATAAAAAGAGAAGGAAGGTTACAGAGATACCTCTTGGCCTTGGGAATTGTGTTTAGGCGAAAGTTAACGCACCAAGAGTTAAAAAGGTATTTTTAAAACCTTCAGAATAAACAAAAACGAAATCAATACTTTTAAATCAGTCATAGTTTTCAAAGAATGTTACAGACATTTTATTTTCCTCATAATCTCAAAAAAAAAAAAAAAAAAAAAAAAAAAAAAAAAAAAAAAAAAAAAAAAGCATTAGACTTTGTCATTATTAATTAAAGGAAATAAGTAATCCTAACCCATTTTTTTTAAATACTCAGTAATATTTTACGATCAATAAAAAAAGCAGAAAGTAATCAACTAGTTTACCTCCTAGAGAAATCAAAGCCACTGCAAAATAACCTATGTTTGGGGTAAAACTACTATTTACGTTCACATACCTACACAACTATTTTTGTCCAAGTAATCAAGATCTTATACGCAGCTAATAAGTTTTTGTTTCATCATGCAAGAATTTAAAATGATTAATTCAATTAGCTAAAGTTCACCTTTCCCAGCAATTTTTGTTTTTAAAATAAACTAATCAATACTTTAAATAATTTTGACATTTGCATTCAGAACATTTCATTTATAATTTTTAGAAGTCTTGTTGCAGATCATTACATAGAAATTTGTTCCTACAGGCTCAGCTGTATCATTGCATCCTAATAATACTGATTGCTGTTTTAAATAGGTAACTTTTAAAACATCTACTAGGCTTTTATTAAAAATAACTTTTAAACACTCCACAAAAATCATAGATTAAAAGTAAACATCCCAAGAAACACCCTTTCTTTTGCGGCAGAAAATAACATTGATATTCAGAAAACTGAGTCAAAGCACATTTTTATAATTTATAAAACCATTTTTTTTTGGACAAATGACAATGAAATGCAACACAGTGCTAAACATATATATATATAATCAATCTTGGCCAAAACTTGATTGTAAAAACAAACCGAATTCAGGACTTCCAAATTACAGGAAAGTGAGACATTTGCTTATTCTCCAAAATCTAGTTTTCAAACATATTTATTTACTAGGAATTAAAAAATATTAACAGTGATGGAAATGGTACAATTTAAAAATATTATTTTCCCATCTTGGATATACCAACTTTGGAGACATAAATATAGTACTTAAAAAGGAAGGAAGACACCCCAAAACATTAAAATCTAACCACCCCACTTCAATAGAAATTTCAAAATAAACAAAAACCCATTTCCATCACTGATATTCCCACTCAACAATAAAAAATACAATAAAAATTACAATATATTGATAATAAATATAGAAATATAGCCCAGTTGACGGACAAAGTCCTGCTCTGGCCGATCACTTCAATACCTGTGCCCAATTTTTTCCTTGTGTTTCCCCATCGCCTTTTCAGCTATCTCCTGTGATGCAAACTGCACATATGCCTCCCCAGTGCTTCTCCCATTGAAGTCTGTTGGAAGGGTAATCCCATTTCGGACAATCTCCAACCCTTTAAATTAAAATCCAACCCATTATAGGACACTACAAATAAACTCAAGCAATATATTAAAGTAAACCTTTAAAACAGAGTTTCCTCTTATCACTTAAAGCTAAAAGAACAAGAAAATGATTAATGAACACCAAAATCAGGAAAAACATGAGCAAATTTAAATAGCCCTATAAAGAGACACTAAAATATTTTTTCTTTAAAATAATATTAACAAGCGATGCTTTACTCTAAAATAAGGTTGACAATGCTTCAAAATGAAAGTAGAATAAATTTTAATACAGAATTTCTTTAGTATAAAAGAATCAACACAGTAAATTATTAAAACCAACTTTACAGCATGAAAAAAATAAAAAAATGTAGGCTAAAAATATTTTTTATATTTTCCTTGTTTTTACTACTAATACACCATTTCAACTTGTTTCTTTTATAGTTAGATACTTACTGTATCAGAGTGCCAATCTGAAGGTAAAAATAACGAGAAAATTAGTGAAAAAGCATTCATCATGCATTTCAATAGATAGTTAAGTATTTTGAAGAACTTTTCATAACCACTATTGAGAATGTGAAGAAATTAGAATTACACTATAAATTATTATATATAAGGAATATTTTCCAAATTCGTTAGCTTTTGCATACTTAAGCAATATTTTTCATTAAAATATTCAAGTAAAAAATAAATATACAGATGCATTTTGTACTATATTTTTAAAAAAATAAAATATAAAAAAGTCAGACACCCCTGCACACAGTTCCGAATTTTTAAAGTAATTTAGTATATTATAGAGATAAATGCATACATATTTTGATATAACTGTCCACTTGAATATGCATAATCAATATTCATAAAATAATTAGTAGATTTTGTTCTATATATCACTTTGTATGTGTCCCAAACTTTTGTGTAATTACTGTTCCAAGTACAAAAAGGGACAATAAAATAAAAACTACAGATTCTAGTTTAATAAAATATAATTTCCAGGTTACAAACATGTTCTTCCCTACAGAGCAGTTATGTTTAATGACAGTTCCATTTCTATTAGGGTCCATAAGCTTGATTTTATCTTAAAAAAAATAAATTATTTTTACAAATTGTATTAACTTAAGTTTAAAAAATAAATCTAATATATATCGTTTGGAAATTGTTGTCTCTATCTGATATATATTTAAAGGGGATAGTAATTACCCGATGAGTATCGAAAATTTTTACTATTTAAAAAACATTACAAACATGCCACTACACATTTATTTGAAGATAACATTGTTAGTAAACAAAAGAATTCCAAATTTTTAAAATTAAAGAGAAATTTTAGGACTCATTAATATAGTTGAGATAAAGTATCAAAATATTAACTTTGTAAAGCAAAACTAAATGGCTAAAAAATTATTTTCAATTTTTTAAAACCATTTTTATTCAATTGTTTTCTTTTCCTTAAATAATTAAGAATTTGGTAACTTAAATAAAATTTTTTAAGTATCATAGAAATTTGCAAAATTTTAGAAAAATTATATAAATATGTAATGAAAAGACCAAGAATAAAACTCCTACCTGAAATGTTTTTTTTTAAACTGAATCTTTACCGACGTGTTTGGATAGAGAGTTTTATTGATCGCAGGTAAAAGATAATAAATAGAAAAAAAGAAAATTAATAGAAAAAAGATAATAAATAGAAAAAAAAAGAAAATTTTGTTTGAGCCATTTTTTAAATTATTCACCAAGGTGGATTTTCACCCATTTCTAAACCATAAACAATTTTGATGAAATATACAAAATATATATTTAAATGCAAAACAAACAATATCAAAGGCAATCTGAATAATCTGGTGATTTACAATGGCTTGAAATTAATAGTGATCTGTTGATCAGGGACAATATTTAACTCGGACCACCATAAAATTACCAGTGGTTTCTTGGATCAGCAATCAATGCAAAGGGATGATCAGCTGCATTTACGATTTTCAAATCTATAACTTTCCATGAATTCCAAGAATTTTTGATGACTTATCGAAGTTACTATTTTGTCCACAAAACCAATAAATTTTTAAAAAAACATTATACAGTCAGACCTCGATATAAGGTTACCCTAAGGGACATTGCAAAAGTGACCTTATAAGCGGGGTGACCTCTTAACCAATTCATTAGCAGTTCATAACTAAGCACGTAAATAGTACACACTAGGATTTTTTAAAAATGGTAAGAAAAAAGAAAACGTTCGGCCGTAAATTAAATATTTAAGTCAATAAATATTTAACAGAATTAGTAGAGAATTAAAGAAAGCTAGATTTTAAATTTTTTATTTTATTTAAAATAAAGCTGTTTACAAATTTCCTCAAAGTGTACATACATACATTACACCTTTCCTTATTCAGAATAATCATTTATGCAGGTCTGTCTCGTTTTTTGTTTCATTTTTCGAACAATGTTTTCTAGATTTTGTAACTTCTCAAAATGTTCCACAGCTCCCTCATGGTTTGTAAAAAAAAAAAAAAAATTCGCATGGCATTTATTGCATTGAAGGCTTTCCGTTGGGTTACAGCTACAGTCTCAGGATCACTGTCAACAACTTGTGAAACAATCAGAAATCGTAGCTTCAGAAGTAGTGGCAATTTCCTTATCAATCAAACCATATTCAGCTTCGTCTTCATTGGCATGGCCACGATTTTTTCAAATCTTCCATCAGAACAGATAGAGGAATATTGTCTTCTTCTTTGGTTTTCGTCATCCACAGTATTCAGAGAACTCACAAAACCAGCATGATGAAAACAATTTGCTATGCATGTGGTGGACACCATGCTACGCCTCAGATAAAAATGACCTTATAAGCGATAACGATTTTCAAATCTTGACCATATATCCGATAATCTGTAACAAAGAATTCCTATTCAGTGAGCCGGGACTTTGCAAAAGTGACTTTATATCCAGGTCTGACTGTAATAACATTTAAATTGAAATGATAGTTATAACCAAAACTGTTATATTCTGCATCTTCATATTTATTGATTTTAAACTAAAAACAGTAAAGAAAGAGTTGAAGCAATAAAATAGCTAGAAATTTTTTATTTCTTCTTGAAAGTAACAGTATAATATAAAAAGCCTAACAAAAAAAATTCTGAAATCACAGAAGTTTAAAAGATAATTCACTCTAGAAATGATGCTCTTTCTCTCACTTTTTGAAAGAACAGGATAAAAACCTTTCATATTTTAATAGAATATGACTATGAGTGGGGACTTTGTACAAGTCCCCACTCATTTGGAACATCAGAACACTGAATTTTTTTGATGCACTGCAGAAAAAATGAAAGTGTTTTTTAAAAATTTCAACTCCTGAAAAATGAGAGTAGCTTATATATAGTGAAAAACAAAATTATTTTCTTAGTCAAAAACTAGCGATTATACACATATAGTAACATCCTACCTATCATATTTGTGTCAACATCTCAGAATGCATTGGAACATTAATGTTGAAGCTGAATTCACATACTTACTAAAATTAAGCAGTATTCACGTATTTACTAAGTTAAAGCTGTATTCACAGCTAGCCCTCATTCACACAATAAACAAACACACTTGTCATTGAAACTTTTCACAGTACTTCACCAGGATTCATCAACATAAATCTTGTATACCCACGAAAGCTACACCACAATTTGCACGATTACTTAAATGTTTCGAACAAGTCTCTCTCAAAGAGGAAATGTGAATTTAATTTTATAGCTTGGCTTCACACTGTCTTTACCTTAATTTATATTTCATTTTCCTATAATATTATTGGCTAAATGGATGGATTTTTGTAGTCTTGTTAATGAGAATGCAATGGTAAGTTAGTGACTATGTTGTAACTAAATAAGAATAAATTACTTAGAACTAAAACTGCAATAAACCTAGTAAACTAATCTTAGAAATAGTTTAACACAACACAGAATTTTAAAGACAATATCCTAATAAAACACCATAATTCAATTTGCCAACACATCACACACTTTATTGATCTACAGATTTCAAGTTTATTTAGATAAGTTTTATAGATTTTGACAAGTGTGCAATAAAAAATTTATTCGAAGTGCAGTTATTTTTCTCAACATGAAAAAAAAATTTTTATTGAAAAAAGAAAAAACATTCAGTACTTAAGTGTACCTTGATAGTTTTTTTAAAATTCCATATTTAGTTATTTTTGCGAAATTTAAAAAGTAAAACAGCTCGTGCTTGTTTTTACTTTAAGACATTGGCATTAAATCAATCCACCCTTATTATTAAAATCGAAAAATTAGGAAATGCTATTAATGTTATAGAAGCATTTTTCAGAATATTTTCTTTTGTTTATTTTACTTCTATTTGGTTGATTTAAAATTGTGCAATTTTGATTAAAAAAAATAATTTTCAAACATACGCTATATTGCGCTGTCTAAAAAACGACATATCACAATATAAAATTTCTTACATCGCCCAGTCCTAAGAGGCTCATAAACTTTAAACTTGTGATAAGAGAAAAAAAAATACACAATATATCTCACACATTGATAGCTTAATGGGGAAAGATGCTTGACATAACTCTTGATATGAAATGAGAAGTAAAACATTAAGTCTCGGATAGCATTAAAAATCATGTATCAGAAAAATCTGTACAACTGTAGACTGTATAAGCGTATTTGCAAGGGTTGAGTCCCTAGAAATTTACCTGCCACACACTACTTTCCCATTGAATAATATGGGGTAAGCTGGTTTCTTGAGGCAGTAAAGCCCGCAAATAAAAGTTTAAAGTCAGGACTTACCCTCAGAAGGTTAATAAAACTGTACACCATTGTTTTAAGAGCAACTATTTATCATTAAATTTAACATACTTATCTTTAAATGAAATTTTTTAATGATGAAAATGTATAATGAAATAGGTTAGATTCAGATTAAATTCATGATTATTCAGGTATTGATAGTAAAAAAAAAAAAAAAAAAAATCTAGGAATGGTGCTAAGTGCTACAACCAACACAATTTTAACCATTGCCACCAATATTGTCAACTTTTTTTACTTTATGTCCTATGACTTTTATATTTATGCTGCAGTCTAGCTTCAAAATACTTAGAAACAGTAGGAGTAAAAAAGTTAAATGCAATTCATTCCTAAATATGATTAAAACTAAATATTAATAAATTTTAGCATATAAAAGAAAGCTGGAAAAAAAAAGAGAGATTTGAGAAAATCTGGAATCGAATATGTGAACACTTGCTTTCATTTTGCATTAAAAAAAATTAAAAAAAATTTGACCATTAATTTATAAACCTCTTTTTAAAAATAAATAAAATTTTACAAGTTTGGGCAATTTTAACAAATTTAAAATTTTTAACAAATAATATTAATTAAATGGATATTTGAAATCATTTTACTTATAGTTACCACCAGGGATAAAAAACAAACAAACAAAATAATGAAAATACCTGTGAAAAATTGAGCAATTTCTTCTTTTGAGCATCCGAATGGTAATCCTCTTAGCCTAACACAGGCATCACCAAAGGCCTCTTCACCATCTAAACCACATTTGCGTAAAGCCCATTCCATTTCATTAGGCTTAGATCTAAAAACTAAAACAAATACATCAAATAAATAATAATAATAAAACACAAATAAAGTAAATAAGAAATTGGAAATTATAACTTACCTTCGATGTAGCGACTGCCTAAATGTTCGTTGTCTTTATCTAAACCTTTTTCAGCATCCTCTTCAGTTTCAAACTCAACATAGGCTTCACCACTAGGTCTCCCTTCTCTCGACATAGTCAAATGAATACCAGAAGCCCCATTTTTTAAATTACACCCTGAAAAATAAACCAGAAGTTCTTTTCAAAAAAATAATATAAAAACTAGCATTTAGTTACATACAAAGAAAAATAAGCACACAGTAAAACTAATATATATATAAATAAGAACTGAAAGAAAGTCTTTCTTTGAACTAAGCCTCACAGCAGAATTTTTTCGAGCTATCTATGACAAAATTCTCTATAACAATAATATCTTTCTACAAGATACCTTTAATAATAAAACATATATGTTACAAATTAAAAATAACAAAAGCACTGTTTAATAAAAAAAACTATATAATTTGTTTTAATTGAACACATCTTTCTACAAGATACTTTCAATAATTAAAAATATATGTTCCTAATTTAAAATAACAAAAGCACTCTGTTTACTAAAAAAAACTACATAATTTGTTTTAATTGAACATGTAATAATTTTTTATTCTAATATTATGGGTGATATTCTCGCACTCTGTAAGGAGACACACAAATTATTTCCTTCTTTGCATTTTGTAAATAATCATAACAATAAAATAATTAAAAAATCACGAAATCCGTAGCGATTGCCGAAAAAAAAAAAAAAAAAAAAAAGATAGACGTTGAAATCATGCTAATACAGGTTTTTAATCCTAGTACCTAATTTTGCGAAATTTTTTTTTTATTTTTGTGAAAATTTAGCATTGTTTAGAAAAAAAAAAAAAAAAAAAAAAAAAAAAAANAAAAAAAAAAAAAAAAAAAAAAAAAAAAAAAAAAAAAAACTACATTTGTATACAAAAAGTACAATACTATAAAACACATACACATATTGAGCACATATACACATATTGTAACAAAGCTTGAATTGTTTTGCTCTTCAATTATTGGTTCCGTAGCATTTTTAATACACTGTGCCTCATTATCAACTGTGACGGATTCTCCTCAGTGACAGTTTTTTCAGGCCGAAAATTTTTTTAAAAATCGATTTCGTTCCTATACTATCGATCGCGTGCAAACGCTTCATATAATAATTGCTATTCAGTGAGCCATCCACCCGCTACACTTAAATTTCTTCCTTGTTTCATTATAAATACTTTTCATAAATCTTGTTAAAAAATACAAATAGAACACGTTTTACGCTAATATCAAATCATAACAAAAACACTTGCCGTCTGGGAAAATGTGTTGAGTTGTTTACGCGCTAGCTCAATTTAGCCAGTTGCCTAATATAAAAACTTCACCACTCACGCTGAATGAATGGCGTACTTAGGAGAAGTGACATCAGCATATCAAGCCTGTTTTCGAGCTAGTGCGGCTGCATGGAAGGTCACCTGATGGCGTTCACTGTGAATTCACTTTTCTGTGAACCGCTTGGAAAACTATTCAGTACTTTAATTCCTTCGTTTTTTTTTTTTTTTTAAATTTTCGTGAAGATGCGTTTTTTCTTTTCTTCAAAGTTTGTTGAAATACTGATTTTTTTTTTTGTGTGTGTGAAGGTACCGAAAAACGGTGCCAAAATCGACCCGGATTAAGCCCTGGCTAATCAGCCCTTTCAAATGCGCTTTTTAGGTTGTTATATTAAATAAAAAAAATATCAGATTTCAAAATTACGATGGAGAAATCAATAGCAATAACTGCCAAAAATTCTCTAGAATAATTGCTGTAAAAGCAAATACTCAAATGCAAAATTTGAATTTTCCATGTTGTGTGAAATGTATCATTATAATTAAAATCCACATGAAAATCAACTGCCGAAAATACAATTGAAACATTACATAAATTTTTATGATACTATCGACGTAAATTGAGCGCACCCTGAAGTGATTATCTAAATGCATGATTCGAATATTACATGTAAATCCCTGTAGAAAAAAAAAAAGGTTTTTTTTATAACTTTTCATAAGAAAAATCTCTTTGCAGGAACTCCAATGTTCTGCCACAATGTCTGTCTAGGGGTATCTAAGTTTGTGGCTCAGTTAAAATCTATCTCAATAATTTATATATATATATATANATATATAATAATAACAATAATAAACGCAAAAGCCAATTTCAATTAAAATAATAACAAGTTGATCAAGATAATTTTACAAAATGTTGTGATGGTTTTGCACATAGTTGTTACACATGGTGAGAAATCTAGGAGCTTGAATTTTCTCGATTTTGGAAATAGATTCCTCATTATAGAAATAGATCAAAATAAGTATAAATAATCAATAATTATAGTTATTTTCATACAAAAAAAAAAAAAAAAAAAAAAATTACTTCAAAACTAAATTGTATATAATCTAGAAACTAAAGAATAAAATGCAAACAAAAATAAACAGGTAATAATAAAATGTAATACATTGTAATGAGGAAAAAAGAATTTTTTTTTTACCATTATTTAAAAAGTAAATGGCTATTTAAAAGTACTTTGGTACAAAAGGCTTAAAATTAGCAGTATTGAAATTTTTTAGAAGCATTATAGTTCTATCATTATACATTACTAAACATTGGGTGCAAGTTGAAAAAAGGGCCAAGAATGAAAAATTTTTCCGACTAAAATTCAAAGCAAAGAGAAAATTATTTTAAAAGAGGCACTTTTTTTTAGAATGTAAGAAGAAAAATTCTGCTTTTGGACATTTCCGTAAATTTTTCAGTTTTTTAGTCACTTTTGTTCTTAACTTACGCGAACATTTTCTAAAGACGGAAATCCGTCCAGTGGACAGACCTCTTGCACCCATGTTACTCAATAAAAATATGATAAGCATTTCAAAACTTTTAAGGTTTAAAGTAGGGGTGCACAGCCTGCGGCCCACATGCGGCCCTTTGACTACTGAAGTGCGGCCCGCGAGAGCTTCTGAACACAATGAAATTTTTTTTAAAAATGGCAATTTTTAATCGCACTTTTGAGTCATCACGTTTTGACACAATCAATTTTAACAGATTCTTTAGTAAATGTACGTTTAACGCGCTTTCTTTAAGCTGATTTTATCGCAAATATAAAAGATTTTTTTTTTTTTTAAACAGTCATTTCCGCTTTTCTACGTGATTTCGAAAATGCCAAATTTTTATTACGAAGTAAGTTTCAGATCGCCCATTTAAATAATAACTTTTTGGTGCACTTAATTTGTGACGATTTCATCTTAAACCTAAGTGATTTTTTTTATCTTTTTTCTTAGCAATTCTTCCTTTTTTTCAACAATTTTTTTCGATAGTTATTGCTATGCGTTCCCACGTATTATAAAAAATTCAAATTATTATATTACGACATGCAAATTTTAAATCGTGCATTTGACACGCTTTATTCGTGCTGAGTTCAGCATAAATATAAGTAATTTCCCCCCCAGCTATTTCTATACTTTTCCACATGATTTTGACGATCCCGTTATTTAACTATGATGTTATTGCGGCACGTGATTGTTAATCACGCAATTAATTAATCACTTTTTGATATGGTATTTCGGTGCAGTTTTATCATAAATCCTAGTTACTTTTCCTACATTTTCCCCCCGAAACGAATATGATTTGGTCGAATGTGGTAATGAATTGTGATTTGGTCAAAAACCAAATATTCGGCAAAATAAAAGGAAGAAAAAAAAATCGACTGAACGTCGTACACTTGGGGCCAAATAGCAAATTTTTTTCAGCAGCATACAGGGCTTCAAGTGGCAAAACATGGTTTTGGAGCATCTTAGGAGCAACAAAAAAGCAATTTTGGAGCAGCAAAACAAAGATTTGGAGCATATTTAATAAATAGAATTAAAAGAAGAATTTAATAACAAGAATTTTTAATTTTGTCCATTAATAACATATCTTTTTTTTTACACTTTTTTGAAGGTCCCTGCATTAACAAATTAAGTTTCTTTTTGGTACCTTCCAATGCTGTTAAATATTCTGCTATCCTCAACTTAGCCTCAGATAAGAGGATCCGTCCGCTTTCTATAATCGACATGTCTTTATTATTTTACCCATCTTTAATATATTTTCAGCTGCGGCTAAGAGATCTTGAGAAGCCTTCAATTTTTTTTGCAAATCAATTTCAGCAGATTTCAATCTGCTTTCGTCAGTTTCAGTGTTTTTTGCTTTCTTTTTTCACAACCTCTAGTCGAGCAGAATAATTTTTAAATGCTGCACGAGCCACTTTAATCATATCTTTGTCAACTTAAAAGTTATTTAAACCCCTATTTTGTTGATATGTGACACAACTTCTCTCAAACCATTAACACTATTCAAATTTAAACTTGCCTTATTGTCAAGTAGCTTTTTGTTCACACTTAAACCTCTTTCAACATCGGCATTCCCATGTGGTACGCACAATAGAGCTTTGTTATAAGAGGATATTTGATATTTCCCAAATTAACTTTCTTCACAAAATAGTTTTTCCAAAACACATCAATTTGTGCATATTCATTTGAGTCAGAAGAATAACTTTCTGGTTCCCCATGTAACCTTGCCCCCTTCATCCAGTAACAAAGATGCCTCTCCAGGTTTTATAATGGATGGGGTTACTGTTGCCAGATATCTTATTGACTTAATAGAAGTTTTTTCTATTCTCATTACAGGATGCAACACTTTAAGAGGGCACAGTAACCTATTTTTTTGAGGCAATGCTTTTAATAAATTTTTTGTGCATGCCAAGTAAAAAGATCTGACACCTAAATACATAATTTTTTTTCTGAAGAAGATAAGGATGTCATCACCTTTGTGGTATCTAGTCCAACATCTATTAAATTTGAATTTTGCCAAATTTCTGCGTTTTCTACATCCAATGATTTTAAGTCCTTTCCTGACAAACATGAAAACCAAAACTCTTTAAAAAAACGCCCTAACAATGCTTTAACTAGGAACACCATTTCATCATACAGCAAGTGAATCAATGGTGTTTCAGTGTGGAAAAGACCTAAAAATTTATTTAATATTGCCGAAATATTAAAAAAAAATTTAATAAATTCAACATTGAGTGGCTCATACTATTTTTTAAATTAATAATTACTTTATTTAATTCTGTAAAAGGTAATTCAAAACTCTAATTAATTTAACTATTATTTAAGGTTATCGAGTGTAATTTTATTAAAATTTAAATAAATGTTATTTGTAATAGTATATTCAACACAACATTAACAAGATTAATATTGATCATACCAAATTTATAAAAATATGTAAAGAATTAAGCAAATTAAGAAAACTTTAATAAATTTATATTACAAATGTAAATTAGTGAATGGCCCCTAATAAATTTTTATTAAAATTGGTTACTTATAAAGTACTGCATTAATGAAATGATTAAAAAAAATTAAATAATTTTTAAATGCAAATACAATGAGTATTGAAGCTAAAAAAATTTTTTCAGAAGTAAATTATTATATTGTCCCTACACTCATAATATTTAGCAAATCTGTGATAATTAAAATTTTTTATATCAGTTGCTTTAAATCAAATCATTAAGAGATGAATTAAAGTATTTTTGAATGACAAATCTGAAAAACATAAGATTTTTTGCTGCATTTAAAATATTGAAAACCCCTCTCTTCATACTTATTTAAAATCTTGCCTCTAAATATTATTAAGTTATTTCCTAAAACAAAATAAGAGCACTGAAAATTTTGAAGGTAATAATACAATAATAAAATGCAATAAGTAAAAAAAAAAATTTTTTTTTTAAAAAAGTAACAAAGTAAAATAATTGTTTAAAAACAATCTGCAATTAGTGGATGGTCCCTCAGATAAAAAATTTAAGTTATGAAACTCAATTAGTTCTTATCCTTATTTAATCTTATCTTTATCTAATTACATGAATAAAACGGAGATAGAAAGTTTGAGGTTATGAAGCTTTGTGATTCTTGACTGTTCTGAGGATCAACATGAAATTATGTACTTAGTGGATGGTCCCCTAGTTAATTCAAGGATCATGGTACTAATCTATAAATAGAATAGCGCAAGAAGGCCATTAGCTTTCCATTGACGAAGACGATGGTACATCAATAACGATGAAATCAACAAGAGAAAAAATTTTCTTTTGCTATTAAAATTTGGCAATGTTTAGTTGGTCCCCAAAACATTTTTGGCGCAGATTCGGCGCAAATTTAACATAAAATGTCGTTTCTGCGCAGTAATGCGCAAATATACCGATTTGGCGCAAAATGCGCAGCACTTGAAGCCCTGAATAGCAACTCTGAAACTAAAATTTCAATGCTCAGAATAATATTTCCTGGAAAAAAGTATTTATAAATTAACTCTAAAAAATAAGGCCAATCAAGAACGTGTTTGAAAATGTCGAAAAGCGAAACAGAAAACATAAAAATTACCAGAAAAAGCCAAGAAAAAAAGAATTAAGTCAATAGAAATGCTATTAAAAATTACTGCGTTATAATAAAAAGTTTGAAAAACGCTCTTAATTTTTTTTAAACGAAAATCTTAAGTTGAAAATCTCAATTTAAATTTTTCTCATTGCCATAATTTTTGAAGAAAAAAAATTGCTATAATGTAAATTTTATTAGTAACTTTATTTTTAAAAAAAAATGTTGAGTCATAATAAAAATGACTAAAAAAAAGAAAAACAGAAAAAACTAATTTTTCTTCTTTCCTGAAACAAAACTTGAATACTGAAAATCACACTTTTCAAAGATACTGGTTATTTATATTACAGTACAGGGAAAGAGTGATAATAAATTAATAGTATGAGACGTTCTGTTAAAATTCTAGATTATAATAAAAACACCAAAAAATGTTAAAAAAATCCTTCTCAATTCTCAAAGTATCGAAAAAATGACAAAATTGACTTGTCTGAACATAAATTTTTTAAAAAAAAAATTAATACATATCTATATAAAAAAAAAAAAAAACTTAGAAAAATATATTTCTAAAAAATATTCTGCCGAATATTTGACTGATCATTCAACCAACTGAATTTTTCACAGAAGGTGCCAAATACTCGTTACATCCCTAATTTAAATGCAATGTTATTGCAACTTGAAAAAGTCATAAAATGGCAAAAAACGTGAATTTTTAAACTGCTCACTGCTTGTAGTTTAGATTTCAATTTTTTGTTGCTTAAGTGATCTTTTTCGATAAAAAAAAAGGAAAATGTTTACGATATAAAAAACTAATAATTAATAAAATTAAATAATAAAGTACATTACAAAATAAGCATGGAATTTTATTTTGAACTATCACAGTCTTGTTTTTATTTCAGGCTTTTCTTTGAAACCTGTAAATTTTATTCAATTAAAATATTTAGTTTGAATTTATATTACTTAATTATGACAAAATTTTTTCCTACTTTCATTCTGTGGGCATTGCAGTTTTTTTTTTTATTTATTAGAATTTAATTCTAAAATGAATTTTCGTATTGCATGATATGATAAAAAAAAACGTTTCTTTTGTTCAATGTTTATTTATTTTGATATATCTATTGTTTATATAATAAAAATAGCAATTTTTTTTGTAAAAAAAAAATAATATCTTTATTTTTGAGTGAATTCTAATAATGAAACACCTTTAAATTTTTAAAAATATATTACTAAGTTTATTGATAAAAAAAAATAGAACGTTAATGTTTAAATAAACATTACTACATTTGTCATTAAGATGTCTAAATACATGTGCGGCCCTTCGCTAGCCAACCTGCTGTGCAAGTGGCCCTTCACTCAAAAAGGTTGTGCATCCCCAGTTTAAAGTGTATCAAAACTATACAATTAGTGAATAACCACAAATTCAATGACTAATCTGAGACTAAGAGAAATTACAACTATCAGCATTTTCCTTTTCATATGTCTCAGGAATACAACTGTCAAGGGCGCCGACAGCAGGGTGCACTTGCACCCCCCTGGCTTTATTTATAAACAATTATAGAGTATAAATTTTTTTTTATTAAAAATATTTTTAATCGAAAACAAATAATTAAGTAATTATTGATACGTAACAATTAAAAAAATGTTTAATCAAGCAAGATTTGTTATCGTCTTGTTAGCTGTCCAAATCTGCTTTTGTTCAATGAATTCTGAGTTATCTTTGATTTGTTTCTTATGCACACTGAGCATAACTACTTAATCTCTCGTGAGGCATTGTAGACCGATTCCATATTTTGGTGTGTCGCATTGTACTAAAAGTGCGTTCAATAGTGCAAGTAGTAGCTGAGGCCAAGAGTTAGGCCAATTTTGATTTCCTCCGCTACAGCTAGATAAAAAGGTGTGGCCTCAATAACTAAATCGATGTATTCGAGGGATTCATGAGTATTTTCACTATTCCTCCACATTTTGTACCACATAAATTCGTACTTTTTTTTATAAATATCTTGTTAACAATGAAGAAATGTATCTTGAAAAAAATTAACAGATGAAAGTACATGTAATAACAAAACAAAATGTAATAACAGAATATTTAAAAAAAAATTTGGGGGAGGGGGGTAGTTTGTTAGAGGGTTGCACCCCCTTTTATATTATTCTGCCGGCGCCCTTGACAACTGTAAAGATTTTTCTTTAGAACGTTAAATAGCATTAAATGTGATACAAAACATACAATCTAAAAATTAATCATTATTCACAGTAATGGTAGAAAATGAGTAGAGGATGGATTAGAGGAGTCACAGTTACCACTAAAAAATTTCACAATATCTTCTTTGGATGCAGACCAAGGCAGTCCTCTAACTCTCAGAACAAAAGGATCACGCTCTTCTTCATCTTCCTTTTTCCTACAGTAAAACATTTTTAATTAAGCATTTAGAAATCTTAACATTATGCAAATATTAGAAACTAGAAAGATTATACCTAGAAATCTTATTTTTCACAATATTTTTTTAAAAAAATTGTTTTTAAATATAAATATAGTAGTTTAAATCGAAAATACAAAATAACTGAAAAACGTATTAACAGTTTTGAAGGGCATAACATTAGTTTCAGTTACTGACACTGGTGATGTATCACCACTATGCTAAAAGAATTGAACATGAATAAAATAAAAGTATTTTTGAATAGTACTATAGACAAATAAACCTGTTTATGACGAACCAAGCACTTAGTCCCTAATATTTTAACCTGTACGGCAAGGCCAAACTTCAGTTATGTACTATTGAATGAGAGGACCAATTAAACTTAATTACTGATTAATCTTCCTTTGTTTAAATTGAAGAGTCAAACAATATCAATAAAACATTATACTTTTAAAAACAAATATTTTCTAGTATATTTAATTATCAATACGTTATTAGTTCTATGTTTATTTTACCTCTGAAATATTGTTCAGATAAAATTGTGACATAATTTGAGTAAAAGGGGTTTGGACAGTTTAAACCGTGGATTAATCCATTCTGTCCTAAACCTTGCCAACCCTGATTCGGATTTCTGATCCCCTTAGTTTGGCCAGGAGAACGCTACATAATTTGAACTCCTTAATGTTACTATTTGTGTATTCCACAGGGATATTTCCGTATCGTGACCTCTTGCGCCAACTATAATCGCTCAGGTGAAGTTATGAAAAAAATTTTTCCATGCAAAAATAACTTACAGTAAGTATATATTTTTGAAAACCATTTTACTTAATAATAAACTAAAAAGTTTCGAACTATAGGACATAAAACTTATAAGAAGATAATTTTACATAGCAAAATACAAAAACTGAATGAAACTGGTTGAATAGTTCTTCAGTAAGACCAGGAAAGTAAAATTTTTTATATGTATATCATCGATTAGTCATTTCGATATAATGTATGTTCGAATATTGTTTCCTCTGAATCAAAACCTTAAAATCAAAAATAAATAAATCCATAACAGAAAACATTGCTAATTCAAAAAAAAAAAAAAATGCTTCTAACATCCATAGTCTTACTTAATATTTTTTCAATTAAAATAATTAAGATGGTTTGACTTACTGATTTATATATATAAAAACATTAGGGCAGGCTTTGTTTCACTTGTTTTTAATTAAAAACGACTTACATCTTAATAGTTAAATACTAATAATACAATTTTATCAAAACTTTTTGTATATATATACGTAAAAATCAAATGAAAGTAATTGTCCATTTGAGTAGAACATAGTTTTCAATTATTTATTGAAAGAAAAGGTGCTTTTGAAACATTGCTAGATCTCTTTATTTAAAATAATAAAGTAAAGGGTCAGGGTGCATAGTAAAATTTTCAACAAAAAATAAGCACTTTTTAAGCTGTAAAAAATATTTTGTTATCTTTCCATTGTTAGAAAAATACGTAATTAGTGAATGATCACCAACTTAAGTACAAACAAAATTTGTTGCCAATTTAAGTGCCAGGGATATTTCCATATAGGTACCCTTTTATATCAAATATAATGGCTAAAGCAACAAAAGGATTATGCACTCAAAATCAGAGTTGGCAAGGTTTAGGACAGAATGGATTAATCTACAGTTTAAACTTCTGCCCAAAACCCTTTTATTCAAATTATGTCAATTTTAAAAAATATATTGTGTAAAATAAAAGGTTAATTTTTGAACAAGAAACAAACTGAAGACAAGTTTTTATTTTATTAAAAAAGTTTAATATTATTTTTAATATTGGATGGGTTTATTATTTTATTTATACTCATGCAAAAACATAATTTATCAATATTAAAAGCATATTTAAAGGATAAGGCATTCACTTTTCAGGGGTCTGATTAGAAGAAATTTGGGTTTAAATTCCAAATGTAGTATTCTAAGGAAATAATTCTACTTTTACAAACATCGTGTGCACAGTCCTATTGATATTAAATGATAATTATTTTTGTAAATAAATAATTGATCAATTTATATTTATTTATAAAATTAATAGATAATATTACATAAAAATTAATTTCTGGCAATTTTTTAAATAAAATATTATATATTTAATTGTTTAAATTTACTCAATGCGTAACACATTAATATTGATATATAACTAAGTTGTGTTATTTAAAATATGTCAATTGAAATTACAGTAGGGAACCGATTATCCGGAACGGTCGGGACCATCGCTATTCCGGATAACTGATTTTTCCGGTTTTCTGAATCTGCCGTTTTTTTATTGTTAAACCCAACTAAAAATTGAAAATTTTTTAAATAATCTTAAAAATAAGAAAAAACGATGAAGTAATACGCTAATGATTATTTCCATAATGATGGTAAGGTAAACATCTTTAAAAAAAGAAAGAAAAATCGTAAAATCTTATGAGGAAATTTTTTTTCTTTTTTTGAAAATGGCGAGAAAATTTATCGAATTCCGTTCCGGTTTTTTGGTTTTCCGATTTCCGGATAACGGGTTCTGTACTGTATTAAAAATATGAGTGATTTTGTTTCCATTATTCTTCCGAAATGAATATTCTGTTTTGAGCAGTATAAGCTAAATACCAAATATTTGTATGTGCATCTCTAATTTAGTAGCAGCAATTGTTAGGCAGAATCTTATCTATTTACAATTTAAAAATTCCTTGAAAAGGTTTTTAGCAATTTTCACAAAAACAGGACCTTTCACAAAATGTCTGGACAGATCCCTGCTTTTATTATTCAATGAACTGTGCAGCTTCAAAAGTTATACAGTAGGGAACCGATTATCCGGAATGATCGGGACCATCGCTATTCCGGATAACTGATTTTTCCGGTTTTCTGAATCGCTACAAAAAGCCGTCTTTTTTTATTGTTAAACCCAACTAAAAAAAAAAAAAAAACATTTGGAAATAATCTTAAAACGAAGTAATACACAAATGATTATTTCCAAAATGATGGTAAGATAAACATCTTTCAAAGTAGAAAGAAAAATCCTAAAATCTTATGAGGAAAAAAAAATTTTCTTTTGAAAATAGCGGGGAAATGTATGGAATTTCATTCCGGTTTTTTGGTTTTCCGGTTTTCTGATTTCCGGATAACGGGTTCTGTACTGTACTATATTATTTTATTTTAATAAATTAAAGTAAACTGCATAAAAAGTATTTATTAAAATATGTAATTATTATGTATACAATGGTTACACATATAAAATTTTTACCTTTTACCAATGTTAAAGGTTTTCGACACTTTAAGTCAGTTTAAGACAGTAACAGACACTTGTGTCCTAACCAAAACCCCAACCCTGAAAAAAAAATATGCAGAGAATTGCACCTGAGAAATAAGTTGCTGCGATTCTAAGAGTTTTTTGTAATTTCCTGCTCAGAAGATTGCTAATTTTAAAGATTTTTATATCAACAATCATGATTTGCAGCATAACCAGGGGTCTGTCGAGGCCGAATTTACTACCGTATAACGGTACCTTCACAAATTGAACTTTAGGAAAAACGTTAGTTTCACAAAATACTTTTTCTTAAAATTTTATTTTTGTATCCCTTAAGACATGATAAATCCATATTTTTGTGTTGATTTTTTAATACAATTTTTAATTTTTCACAAATTATGTCTAAGTTTTCACAAAATAGGTACCTTTCAGAAAAACCTAGTCAGACCCCTGATAACAGTCACCAATTTACTTCTGGGCAGCTTACGCTTGAAATTAGAAAAGAAAAAAAAACATCACAGAAGAGGACCTACTCCGAGCAAACGCCTATATATTGCTTTAAAAAAAAACGTACAAGCTCAAAATCTATCAAGCACCTTTGCAATAGTAGTTAGCGCTGCAGATAACAGAAATAATAGATCAATTAATTGGCACAGATGATAAAAGGAAATCCTCTCCCAATAGTAACACAATTTTACACTTAAGACACAAGGGTTATAGAAAAATAACATTACAAAACAGTAACAATTTTGATGAACTGAAATTTTTTTTTTATCTAGTTAAATTAAAAGGTCAATCTACATAAGCAGGATCATATTTTGCAAAATTTGTGAAAATCATGCGGTTAAAACTATAGTACTATTTATCTGAGCCCCATTAATTTAGAAAAAATATAATTTTTATCAAATTTATAGAAAAATCTTAATAAATGAAAGGATTGCTTTCGAAGTTAACAACTTATTTCAACATGTTTTTTTCACAAAAAAATGCCACGAGATAAAAAAAAAATTTAATATACATCATCAGTAAACAACTGATTTTAGCTAATTGATGAAACAAAAAATTTATCCGCAAAATTTAATTATATTATCTTGTCAGTTAATGCACTGCTGCGAATGATCAATAATAATCTTAAATAACTACGATAATAATGATCTTGACAATACTTTGCAAAATAACTATGCGTTAAAATTTAATCACTGCTAATTAAATAACATTCTAAAATGAATTAAATATTTTACAATTTAATACAGAAAAAGAACGTCATGGTAATGATACATGCAACATTGCTTTGAGTGTTGTAAATTTGTAATAAACTCTACCTATCTCTATCCATTATGAAATGAAATAAGCACTATAAGCAAGTGAGAAATATTAATTAAAATGCAACAAAATGTTGCACATATATTTAATAGAACAATAAGATATTTTTCCGACAAATGGCGAAAAGTTATACACCGGTAAACGACGCGCATGAGTTGTTGCCATTTCTTATTACAAGCCTTTGAAACAATTTTTAATACTTTGAAGAAAAAAAACTTACAATATTTTATTTGATCAGTTAGAAATTTTTAAATTTTTTTCAATCATATTTTAGAAATTAAGCTCTGTTATTATTAATTTCAAAACTTCACAGTTAAGAATTTGTTATTATACAATTAATCTTATAGCAGACGAAATTTTGTTTGTTTTCTTATTACAACCAACATTTAAAATTGTAGATTGTAACAATACATTTAAATCTGAAATTTTTTAAATTTATAATAAATTTGTAGTTTAAAACTTACAAACCTTTATACGCATTAAAATCTTAAGGAATAAATTGAATTAATTTAATTTTTCATTATGCTCGTTACGATGTGTTCATGTGCGGCGTCATAAGAATGGCGACCATTTCAAAACAGTAGATGAATTCGATAACCTTGAAAATCTATTACCTTCTTTGAGCCATTTTATAGTAAATTTATTACATTAAGTTAGCTTTTGTGTAGTACTTAAAGTGCAAAAGGAAGTTTAATCAATTGTTCTCCATCCCTCTTTAATAAATTATTTCTTATGTTATTGATCAATGATGCTGAACATCATGCTTTTCCTGAATAGAGAATCAGCTTCTGAACTCTGAGGAAATTATAAAATATATTTTAAAATCTTTTATAATAATAGAAGGGCGATGACCATTTCGGTCCTTTCATATTTGTTTTGTTTCCATAAAGTTACCTGCTTGTCAACTTCAAAATCAAGTTTACTATACAGTAAGGATAAATTGCATTTTCATTGCATTCTGATTAGTTTTTTTTAACTAACCGAATTATTTATGTTTCTGCTTAACTTATCAATTTAAAACTTGCTATTGTTACCTAGTTTGAGACTCTAGAACCGAATTAATGTTTTTTTCTGAATTTTTAGTGAAGAAGAAAGTTTTGCTCTATGCTGTAATAGGTTATATTTATTTACTTCCTGCTTTTGTTGTAGTTCAGAGTTGAGTTTTTATGTACCTTAATTAGTTTAAATGTATATTTTATTTTAAAGATAAGTGTTTTAAGCTGATAATGATCAATTGAACATTGACTTTAATTCTATGAACAAGGATTTTGCTTCTTTGAAATAATTTTACTTACAAAAGCAGTTTAAATTTACTTATAAAATCAGAATAGGTTTATATAAATAAAAAATTCTTTTCATTTTTAATTAATTGTTTATTAAATCAAATGAACATTATTGTGCATTTTATAAAAAATTTCTTTTATTAGCAATTGATATGCATGAATTGCTGCTTATTATCTTTTTATAATAAAAAAAGGAATAAAACAATTTTATTTGTTATTTTCCTCTTTAAAATAATTTTTCATTTTGCTGTTCTTTTAGATGATACAGGAGAATTAAGTTTCATATTCAATGTTGGTTTATGTTATTCACTTAAAACTCTTATTTTTATTTCAGTCACCTGAAGAACGTAATTTTAATCTGTTCTGATGGACGGTACCTTTCGAATGAAATCATATACAGCAGATATTCATGATAAAATAGCAAGAGCATATTATAGTCATGGACTCTTCTGTTCTAGTCACCCATACCTTGTTATTTTTGTTACCTTGATTATCTTTCTTATTTGCTGGTGAGTTTCATTTCTTTACTATTGTTTCGGATACATTAACTACTTTTTATTGATTGACTAATATTTCAGTTTATTAAAAATAGTTCAATTTTTAATTGTTTTCATTTTACATTGATTTTGATATATTTTCAATGTTGAGAAAAATTTTAAGTGTTTTTTCTATTTGTTTCTTTAACTATGGAAAAATATGCCTTAAAGTCTGGATTTTTCGTTAATTGCAATCTGGTAATTTCCAGAAATCCAAGGTACAGAAATTTCAAGATATCATCGATCACATTTATGTGTAAAAATTCATGTATATTTAATTTAAAAATATTAGAACTAGAATTTATACTTGGCATCTCTTTCATTTGTAAATATTTTTTTTGGTAGAATAATGTGATTAGAGGTAAAAGTAAACTTATACAAAATTATTAATTTGAATTATGCTGCATATTATTTATTTAGATTGTAAAATTTACTTGTTACTTGTGTAAAATTAGATTGTTGTATTTACATGTTGTAAAAATATCAATGATTTAAATTTATAAAGACATAAATTTTTTGAAATGCGTCCTTAATGATTTTACTCAAGAAATTTTTAGGATTTTTGAGTTCGGCTCACAATCACCCCTGAATTATCATGATAACGATTTTAATATTCTGTAATTAAAAACCATTTTTTGCAGTGAAATAACAAATGAAAAAAAGCAAGAAAAAAAAATTAGTACAATAAGAAAATTTAAGTTCTCTAAGCTAAACTTTTAAAATCTTTTTTTCTATGTTTGTTTTTATTGTTATTTTGGGCAGTTGTTATGTTGGAATATTGGCATTATTGATTTTGATAGTCTTTTGACATGTATGCTGTCCCCCTTGTGCCAGCCAGGAATATTCTCAGGCTGGCTAGGAAATATGTTATTAGAAAATGCTGAGTTTTTAAATTTTTTTCAGCTATCCCCTGATATACTTGCCACTTTTGGGAAGTTCATCTCAACATTTTTTTACTCCCATTCAAGGTTTTGTTCCACCTGATATTAATTTGGGAAATTCTGAGAATTACAAATTTAATGGACCTCGTTGGGTAAGTGCTCTTATACAAAGAAATTTCTTTCCTTATTTTAAGATTATTGTATGTGATGACTATTTTACGGTTTTGTCGTACATTTTCTCAAATGCAAGAAGGTAATAAATTTTTTTAAATCATATTTAGGTTCATTACTGAAATTCTTTAGAAGAAAATTGTAAAAATCTCTTGCAAGTTTTGCCCATGGGTCATTCCATGTCTTTGTTATGAACATTTTAGAAATCATATTGTATTTTTAAGTTATTTTGACAAATACATCCTAAATATTTCAGAGTGCAACTTGATGAGATTAGTGCTTATGTGAAATAATATCTAAGGTTTTTATTGTGAGAATATCACCCATAATATTTGAATAAAAAATTATTACCTCTTCAATTCAAACAAATTATGTAGTTTTTTTTGTAAACACAGTGTATTCATTATTTTAAATTAATAACATATATGTTTGTTAGTATTAAAAGTATCTTGCAGAAAGATATTAGTGGTAGAGAATTGAGTCGCAGATAGCTCAAAAAAATTCTGCCACAGGGATTATGGCAATCTAGAATTAGAATCTGGAGAGTTGTGTTATTCTTTGTTCATTCAAAAGAAATTCAAGTTATTTCATGATTTAATTGTATTAATACTTTAAGGCAGAATAATCCAATTTATTAGAAGCTGAGACTAGTAAATTATGCCAAAAAATAAATCAAGGTAAAACAAATATTGAGACTTGCTACAATACACTTAAACTTTAACGACATTCTGTAAAATTTTTTAAAAGAGTTTCGCAGTTTGAGTATCTGCGAACGATCTTCACTACTAAAAGAAATTTTAACCGTTAAGATAAATAACAAGTTCTCCATATCAAATGAATTCTATCATAGCCTCAAGAACAAACTGAAATTTCGGTTTTTAACTTTTAAAAATAAAAATTAACACCTGAAGAATGTTAATTTGACCAACTCAGCTTTATGGGACTTCATAGCTGCCAACTCTATTGATTTTCTAGTAGACAATTGAATTTTGCAAGTTTCTCCTGGTCTACGTCTACTGATTTGTTGAAAATTCTCCTGGTTTTTGTACATTTTAGAAAATTCCCTAAAATTGCAAGTTTCCTAAAAAAAAAAAAAAAAAAATTCCTATTGAAATAGAATTTTTGAACAGATTATTATTACTTGCTTGAATACTTAAATAAGTATTACTAATGCATAATGGAGCAATCCTCATTTATAGAAATCAGTTCAAAATTCTTTTTGTTCTAAAATGTTCAGTTAATTTTTTATTCAGAACTCTCTTTTTGTATTAAATTAAAGTATTTTAACTATCTTTGATGAATTACATGCCTATTAATATTTGAAATTATAAGTAAACATAATACACAACATTTCAAGCATGCTTAATGTCAATCATAACTGGAAAATATTGCAGTTTTTCTATTTTGATGATTATAACCCTATGTGTAAAATATTTCATATATTATGCAACAATTATCATGGAATTTATATTCCGTAAAATCTACTGGATTTTTTCCTACCCATGTTTGCAGCTTTGGAAGTTAGTGTTGGGCAGTAACCAAATTACATGAAAATAAATTATTGATTTTTGAGAAGTTTTAAAAATAATATTTAATGCAGTGCATGAGAATGATAGCTGAAGGTCCTTGTTTATCTTAAAAATTTATCTAAAGTACTCACATCCCCTTATAGTGTTAAAGTCTTAAAATGCAATAGATTATAGTGGCTCGAACATCAGATATCGTATAGGAAGAAGGGATGTTACTATGACTAGGTATAGTGACACAGTTTAATGAATTCAATTTAGAATAAAATTAAAATAAGCCATTTAGCAAATGTAATAAAATTTAATTCAAACTGTATCAATGTATAGGGACACTTATGATTTGCTTACATTACCTTTACGTGTGAAAGTTTTAAATTGTGTGCCTGTGAATCAATCAAACTATTTGTGTATCGGCAAATGCTTTTATGTGTAACAGCATGCTATGAAGTTTTATTGATTCTCTGTGTTTTGAGTTTTATTCATTTTCATGTGATGCTATGTTTTAAAATGTAACTTTATTCATTAATTTACTCCATTCTCACTCCATGTATTGCTATTTTATGTATGTTTATAAGTTAAAAATATAGAGAACAGGGAAAATAATATAATAAAATAATAAAGAAAAGAGAAAAAGAATTTTCTTCTTCTCTTTTCATTAATCTTCATTATATTATTTTCCTTGCTTTCTCCATATTTTTAACTGTTTTTATGAGTTCTATATACTTGTTTATTATTTTCATAATTTTCTTCATTTTTCTCTATTTCTAAAGTCCTTTATTCCTTTCTATCTTTATTGTGCTATATATCTATATTTTATATTAGAGGACTCCGTCCCCTGCTCGTATCAGAAGCACGCATGGGTAGACTAAATTAGTCTATACTAAATTTGAGGGTGCTCTTTGATTCTCGCCAAGTTGTGATCGCAGTTGATCACCAAGCTCGGCGATGTTGAAACCCAATTGTGACTCTGATTGGTTTAGATTTTAGCGGTATTTTTAAATGTTCAACAGTATATACAATTTCAGAGGTCCGTTAGTTCTACGTTGGTAAGGTTACTTTTGCTTCTGGTCAATAAGATCGAAGGTATGTGGGCAGTCATAAAAAGGGACTTTAGAAAAAAATGTCATTGCCAGTCCGGTACCATGGATGCCATTTTAGATTCGTATTTCGCCGAATTTATGTGGCAATGGAGGTACGCAATCTTCTATTCATGATAAATTTAGACAGTATCTAACTGCTATTAGAGAATTCGGTGCACCTAAATCTGAGGATATTCAAGCTTAACGAGGAAGTGAGTTGTTTTTTTCCTTTTCTTTCTGTGCTTACTCCATTAATTTTTGTTTCGATTCAAAATGCATTTTACCAATAAAATGCATTTTGCATTTTATTAACTTTGCTCATATCGGGTTTATTGCTATTTTATAAAGTTTTGGCCGATGTTTTGTTGAAATTTTCCAATATTTTATTGCAATATCATTATATTTTGGGAGCCACTCCTGTTACCACGTTGTTCTGCGCAAACAGGAATGGAAAACGTAAAACTAACGGACCTTATTATATATACCGTTACATATTACATATAACGTTGAACATTTTCAAATAACGCTAAAATCTAAACCAACCAGAATCGCGATTGATTTTCAACATTGCCCAGTTTGGCGATCAACCGCAATCACAACTTGGCAAGAATCAAGGGGCACATTCAAATATAGTCTGCCCAATATTTCTGGCTGAACGATTTTTTGAAAGTAAGTAAAAAATAATTAAAACTAAAGAAAAGCGATGATAAAATTAAAAATTAATAACAAAACCTCCTTATATACAACATTTTTTATCAATTTCTTTTCTATATTATTCGTTTTAATTTAAACGCCTTGACTCTTCAAAGCATCTTTGCCACGCATTCCATTGTCGCGTATTGATAGATAGCACTATGATTATTTTCCCGGTAATTTTGTGCTGCTAAATTGTGTTCAGCCCTATGTTGCTGTTGATATTGCCTAAGATATTCATGGCGATTCATTTTTTATAAAAAGATATAAGTATTTTAAAATAAACTCAGTTCAATATATTTCATACATTCAATACAAAATAAAAATCGCAACAAGGTTTAGCTGGTAAGTTTAGTTGTAACATTTCTGCAGACAGCATTATTAAAAATTATTACCTTTACCCACACATGCGTTCTCAATTTTGATTGGCTGTTTTGTGCGTTACTAACCAGCAGTCTTCTGTGATTGGCTATGTGCATTCCACTCTCTTCTTATATTATATATATATATAACATGAAACATTCTTACATTTACTTATCTCAGAAAAGAAAACAGAAAGGGAGAAAGACCACCAATTGAGTTGCTAAGTGTAGAAGAAGAAGTAATAAAAGCATGAATAGCGTAACTGGAAGAGCCTTGCTGTGGATAGGATTAGATGGCACTAACTTCTTGGTATGGCCTTGGCCTGCAAGAGGTTTTAATGCCTTTAATGAGGAACCAAATAACACATTTATAGAAGTTTCTTGTTTGAAAGCAGCCAACATATTTGAAGAATATTCTTAGAAATTGGGGGGGGGGGGAAAGAAACTAAATTTTTGTTACTGTATCTTAATAGTCAAGTAATAGGAACTGAACTTTATGTACCACAGGGTCATGCTGAAAAGTGCTGACTGTAATATGTTTATTACAATAATTTAATATTTTCTACTTTCAAGTTTTTTCTTCTTAATCCATTATTTTAACTCAGTTAATTGTTATTTTTTGCCCTGAAATTCTGTTGAATATCCTTGTTCAAAATGAGACAAACAAACAGTCGAGATATTTTAAGTGACCCAAGATTAATTAAATATAGTAAATATTTATAATTTGTAAACAAATATTTTACTTCCGTGTTTTAATCAAATTTAGGAATATAATAATTCCAAATATGAGTGTTAAATACTTAACACTCATATTTGGAATTATTTTTTTTAAATGATATAAATTTATATTTTGAAAACTGGAATTTCTTTTTTCAGTTTCAAGGACCACCCGTTAGTTACATTCAGCAGATTGTTGTAAAGAGTGCTTTATCTCCATGGAAAACAGATTTAATCTTAACGGATGCATTTCGAGCTCCACTGTCTACGGCTTTTCAAATTATCCAATTGCTACAAAATCATCAACTGAATCCTAGGTAAGCATGAACAAAAGAAATTTTCAGTCTGTTGTTAGATCATTAAATGTATTGTAGTTCTCTCCCTTTTTTTATTTAATCCAAAAGCAATTTATTTATCTAGTTTAATTTTAAGAAATGTTATTATTGTGTCTTTAAAGGAAAATTTGTGCAACTTCGTTTCAAATTTGAATAGGTAGTTACTTTATTTACGTGGACACTAGAGCTGCCCAATGGGCTATTGGCGATTGTACATCCATGAGGATAATCTGAAGGCATGCCATTGCAATTTTGATCCTCTGTAGAGGGGATATCTCTGCTTTTGTATGCGCAGCAACCTGAGTGTGAAGTTGAGCACTTTACAGTAGAACAGTTTAATGAGAAGCGATTATGTGCACCCTTGGTCCCTACGGTTGGTCAAAGTGGTCACCCACTCTCTTACTGACTGCAGCCAGTGATGCTTGACTTCAGTGTTCTACGGAGAACCGTGTCTTTACGATCAGTCCACTGCGGGGCAATGAATATTATAATTTAAATGATTATCATTATGCATTGGCTTATTTTTTTTTTAACTTAATGTTTTATTTTATCTTCTTATTAACTACTGTTTTTTGAAAGCTCACTTGAAATGACGCTTTTTAGAGAATAATATGCTATTTATATAACTGTTATGAGAGTTATTCATGACTGTTAGGTCAATTTTCGCATGTCTTTAGCTAATGTCATCTATGCTAATTCTGAATATAGCATCAATATGCTTTATGAAAATAAATAACATTTACTATCTATTAGTTATTATTTGAAAAGTTACTCATTATCTGTACTCATAAAAATTTGCAAAAATTGAAGAAAATGATTCATTAATTTCATCTAGGTCTGCCTAAATTGGCAGTTTTTTTAAAAAAAGTTTTATAACTCTTTCAAGTTTTCTATTGGCTCTAAAATCCAGATAATTCTGTAAAACAAGATTGTATATCTAGTTTTAAATTATTTATAAATAAGGCTTTTAAACAGAGGCTTTTTTTATTTTCCTCAGCTTCAGATCTTTAAAAAATCAAAGAGCGAACATATTCTTTCAAAAATTGGAATTATTATATCAATTGTTCCTGTATGTAAGATTTTGTTTGTTAATTTTAAATGTGTTAATCATTTGTGCAACTATTAATTATTCTATTTATGCGTAATTTAAAAGATATTCTATAGTATTATAGTCACACTTTTATCTTTAGCACTGTTAATCAAACAAGCCTTGGTGACTTATGTTTACAAGTGTCAGAGCCCATTGATCATCCAACTTCAGATTTTTTACCTCATTATGGATGCCTAATTGTTTCTCCAAGCAGTATATGGCAGAATAACATTGATAAGTAATTATTTTTCTTATTCTTTGATTTTTGACTTTGTAAATTTAGTTAAAAATTTTACTTTAGTGTCGCATGGTGCATAGAGTTTTTAAAAAGTTCTTATTTTCAATTTTTTGTTATTTAAAAGCCCTTAAAGGTGTTTTTTTTCATTGGCTTAATTTTCCCTTTTTGAAAATGAGATTCTTTTCTTTACCGTGTTGATTTTTGCCACATATTGTGCAAAAGCGTGCTTTTCACGTTGTTCTTTTCAACATTTTCACAATTCATTCAATCAATCTATTTCGGCCTACAGTTGGTCCATAGCATATGAAAGCGCAATCATTTTACATGTTTGATAAATATTTGCGAGTCCACATGTATGTATACTCAGCTTTGTTCGGTGAAATTCTTGCACTATCTTGTGGAACTCTGCTGCATTTTGCAAGATATTCTCAATTTCAGACTTCATTTTCCACCGAAAATTCTCTTTATCATTTTATAATGGCTAATATAACCCAGAAAAGAGTTCTATGTCAAAAACTAGTTATTTTATCATGATCATGTAAAGTCTTTGAAAATTATTTTGTATTTTTTAATGCACATAGTGCTTAAAAATATTTCTTCAATGCTTAAAAAGTACTTAAATGGTGCTTATTTTTTGTTGAAAGATTTGGCTGCACACCCTGTGTCTTTTGTTTAATTTTTTCAGATTGACTTGTATAGAGAGAGTTTTAGTTTTTGTTATTGTTACTTGGAAGTTTAATTTATAATTTTAAAACTGTTTGAATTAAATTATAAAAGTTGTTCCGAAAATTGCATTGTTCTATGTAAAAAAATAAAAAATTTTTTTGAGCCCTTTTTTTTAAATCTGAATACGTTAAATGAATGCAGTAAAGAAATCTTGTTAATTGATTTTCATTTAGATTCAAATGGTATTGATTTACTTTATTTTGTTTTAGATTTAAAGAAGACCCTGATATTGTCAAAACAATTTTTGGTGTCAAGGATTCTTCCGTAGACTCATCCAGTTTAAGAGGTATACAATTGTTTAGTTACTTTTCAATGTAAATATTGCATGAATGGTTGAATGAATGTAAAACAATATCAAGCTTCCTAAAATGGGAAGAAATTTAGAAAACTTCTGGTGTATTCTTCCGCTTATGTTATGTTTACGAGGCGATGTGTGACCAGGCTTAATATTCTTGGAAGTTTTATTATTTTGATTTGTATTTAAATTTATGCATAATTTTATCATTCCTAAGAGTTTTCTGCAGTTCATAAATTCTAACAAGTCATGAGCCTAAAACCAAATTTAATGAAGTTAATATCATGGCATAAATAAAGTGTAAGATTAGTCCAGTTTTGAGTTTTATCTTTTATTTGGTTATATATGTGTAAAATAGCATCATTTGTTATTTATTGGGTAGCATCATAGCAAGCTTGCGGAGTCTTCCAAATTCATTTCTTGTTTGTTTTGTTCAAAGTTAAATTGAAAAAATGTGTTTCATTGAAAATACCACAAGTATAATAGTTTCTGATAGTACTTATTTTCAAGCTTAGGCTTAAAAATCTGGCAACCCGAAAGTCTTACTACAGATATTAACCCCTAGCGCCATCTGCACTTAGCTTTACGCGATCAGCTGTCCACAGGGCCCAACTTAGCCTATTAGGGCCCCCTCTGCTTCACTACTTTAGTAATGAAGAACCGAACTTTATGGTGGCATTTAAATTTTTCACCTCATTATCAATAACAAGAAAATTGACTAGAACCTAAAATAGCTATAAAGTCCCCCCCCCCTCCCCAAAGGTCAGACAAAATATCGTTCTGTTTATCTTATTGATTTTCTGACAATTCTATGTCTATCAGGCCGAATGAAGTTTTCTGATAGTTAACTTTGTTATCTAGCTGTGAAAAATTCAAATCATTGCTGACATGAGTGTGGAATTCAGCTAAATTTGTGCAATTACGGAGGCTCACTTAAGCCAATCAGAAGCTTGCATCTTTGTTAACATATCGCATTTTGCGATATATAAAAATACAGCCTTGATTGGCCAAAGTTGTCCATCGTAATTGCGAAAATTTAGCTGAATTCCTCATTAGAAAACTATGGATTTACGAAATATAGATTTTTGTGTTAATATGATAGATTAATGAAGATGCTATTTTGATTTTTGTTTAAAAGAAGTTAATTGAAGAAGGAAACCTAAAATAAACTTTCAATTGGATTTGGGGACCCCTCTGATGTGGGGCCCTGGAGAAACTGCCCCATATGCCCATGCCTTTGTCAGACTCTTACTGTCCATGCATTTAGGATACTTAGATATCGATTTTTGTTTAAGCCTGAATGTTTTATTCCTTTTTCGAATTATATTTTAGCTATTTCAAGTTGAAAAGTAAAATTTTTTTTTGTATTCCAATTCATAATTTCTTTTTTTTTTCCCAATAGAAGTACTTTTTGGAGTTCCAGTTAGAGAAACCGGAATAAAGAAATTATTTGTTCGCAATCGTCCTAGAATTATTACTTATGCTGTAACAATAGCCTTTCAAACTTATAATTCTAAGTAAGTTTTTTTTCTGTTTAGTATAACTTCTTCATTTTCTTTCACATATCTACCTTCTTGTATGAGTTTGCTTTACAATATACATTTATATATTTACATGCCTGTAATATCTTTGTCACACCTTAAAATGGTTTGGAAAAAATTTTTAGAAAATTGAATTTTAGAAACTCCTTCTGTATTTTTTTTTACGTTATAATATTGACCCTTTTTTCATCTTTGTTGATCAAAACAAATATTGTTTTGATCAACTTAATCATAAGCAACCAACTTACACTGTATATTTTGTTCATTTTTTTATCTTTAATTCACTTTTGAAATTTTAAAGTCAAATAAGGTAAAGTTCAAGGTAAACTTTTAATTAATGTGCCAAAAAAAGTTCAAATGTTAAGTTCATTTTTTTTCCATATGAGTTCAAAACACCTTTTTATGCTAACATTGTATTCTTATGTATTTATTATTCTTATGACTATCGGTGATAAATTTATTTAAAGATATATTTTGAATTATACTATTAGCCTGTGTTAGTTTTGCGTTTCAGAAAATTATGTATTCTTTTTAGTATAATTACTTTCATTATTCATTTAAAAATGAAAGTTTTTTTAAATTTATAATCTTAGATAAAGTCTTGCTTTTTTTGTTCGTTAAAATGTTCACCCAAGTTTTATACCTAGTGCAATCTTATTTAATAGAAGATTTTAGTTATAAGTTAAATATTTTTGCTGTAATTTATTATAAAAATCTTGTCCTCAAGTAAATCTAAGTTTCACTGTATTTCTCCATAAAAAGATTTGAGTCTCGCAGGACCTCGTCTTTACCGAACCCTTAACAAGTCAGAATATGCGCAGGGGAGGCCATGTCTGTCGAGCGCCAATGACGTTCAGGATAAGTTTTTTGCCCTCCTGTTGAAAGTAAGGGATCTAGTGTGGCCCGTCAAGAAGCGTGAAAAGGCAGTTTGATGGGCTCTCGGTCTAAGATTGAAAGATTCTCCCGGTTTTTTTGCAAAATACTAAGAGTGGTTGGGAGGAGTTCTTATGGTCTTGTTTTGTTTCATTTTTGCCAGGGAAGAAATTTTACTAAAGGTAAGCTTCCCGCAATGATCAGCGTCTTCTTGGGCAGCGGATTTGGCCAGGAAGTCAGCCCTCTCATTCCCATCAACCCCAACATGTGAATTAATCCACTGAAAGTGTGTCAATTAGGTCTAAAATATCAAGGCTGGTCTGATCTCCAACAATATCCCAATTAGAGATATGCTGGATTGAGGCACGACTATCAGTCAATATCCAAATATCTTGAAAATGATCTGCCCGAGCAGCAAATTGCAAGCTCTTTCTGTTAGCAATAAGCTCAGACCTAAAAACTGAATTGTTGTTGTGATTTTTGATCTTGTATTCAATAGCACCCGTAAGAGTTGGAAAACACCGGAAATTCTTCCCTCACTTCTGCTACCATCAGTGTATATTTTTAGGGAAGCACGGGGAATATTCTGGATAGTCTCCATGGCCAGGCCTCTGATGAGGTTTGGGTGCTCAGAATTTTTCGTCACACTAGTCAAGAGTTCCTTGTGAAAGTGCATTCCATACAGTCCGAGTCTTCCACTATGGTTGCTGAGAGAATGGTGCTCCACATCAGAAGAAAGCAAGTCCAGAGATTTCACAAAGGAGAATGGGCTGTGTTTCCTCAAACGCCGATTATCAGTCCAATTCTGAAGATAGATTGAGGTTCTATGCTGCTCGCTAAAACTGTAAAGCGTATTATAATATTTTGTTAAAAGATAAGTTCTTCTCATTGAAAGTGATGGTAAGTTGCTCTCAAAAAGCACTATGTCATTTGGACAGCAATGCCTAAGACTGGTATAAATTCTAGCTGCACTATGCTGCAAGCCTTCAAGCTTACAAAGATTATAGATGGAAGCACAGGAGAAAATCGGGAAGCCATACTCCAGAATTGGTCTGACAAGACTTATCACTTATTAAACCCACTTTACTCTGGATACAACCGTGTAGAATAGTTTTCTTTATTGAAGACAAGTTTATCAACTTTCAAATAAATTATCTAGAACTTTAAAATAAATGAAAATTTTTAAAATAAATTATTTAAATTAATTTAGAATTTTAAGAAAATATAGTTTAGCAGTTTGTTGTGTAAAAAGTAAGTTTATTACATTGTAGCCTGACAATGTAATAAACTTACATTGCCAGTATTGTATCGACCAGCCATTGCTGGGATTCGAACCCGGTTTACCTCATTCAAAGGCAAACGATTATTGCCTGAGCCGTCACAGCTTAAATAATCAAGTATGTATATATTGTACCAAAAAATGTCCCGAAATTGTCTTAATTTTTAAAAAAATTCTACCCTGATTTTTATTTTAAGCTACTACGAAGCCGAATTAAATTAATCTGAGTTTTTACTAATTCATGTTAGTAATTAAACTGTGTATATTGTAATTATACTGTGTTGCAGTATCTTTTTAATCACAAAATTATTTAATTTTTCTTGATTTCTAGATATCTTACTAGTCTTCATGATCATATAAAACTGAAATTTCCTAAGCATCCATATCCAGAAAATGTTACATATGCTTCTGAGGACAAGGCTATAATCCATATACATTTTCAAAGCTTGCATACTTTGATGGAATTTGTGCCATTGGCTTTCGCTTACATTATAATGTTCTTTTACATTTATTTTTCTGCTTGTAAGTCACGTTTTAATTATTGATTCAGTAAATTTTTATTGATAACTAGGTCATTAAGTTATTTTTATTATCCAAATAAAAAAAATTTATTTATACAAATTTAAATTTTCAGTCTTTTTTTAAACTTTTCTCAATCAGAATAATGAATGAAATTTATGATAATAAGATGTCAAGATTAGAATAAAATAGAAAACTTTGTTTATACTAAACCTTAATTCTGTATTTAGGCTCATTTGTGTAATATATACACACAAATATATACACACAATCAGTGGTAAATATATACACACAATCAGTGGTAAATATATACACACAATCAGACGTCTTTTTATTCTTAAATCCTGATTAAAGAATTGAAAATTGGTTAAATAGAAAATCATGTTCATTCGTTAAATAGAATCATTCGTTAAATAGAAATACTTAAACAACACAAAGCAGGTTTTAAATTCATAAACACTTGACATAATTAAAATAGCAATTGATACACCTTTATCTTGTAAATTAATATCTACTATCAACTTGTTTCAAATGATTTTATCATAAGAAGGCTTGGTGATTTCTTCATCATTTCTTTCTTCATCTTCACAATTTATTGCTGTGTTGTTTTTATTTTTCACACTGTTCAAAATACCCAATTCACTTAATGTTTCTGTGGTTGCAGCTTCAGAATCAATAAAATCATTAATCAGTACATCATCATTAATTTCATGGTTTTTTCTTAGCTGTACCTACATTTTCTTAAGTTCTTCATTCTCTTCACTTCCAAAATTTTCCACGCTGACTAAGAATTCAGCTTTACCAAAACTGTTACGAATAATACGGTCTGTAACATCATAGTTTCATGCTTTAGAAATTTCTGTTATGCTTTCTCTTAAATTGATTTTTGGCATGAATTCCTGTATAAAATGGAGAGATTTAACTGCATTTTCTAAAAGTAAAGTAGCTACAAAAATCAATTTAAGGACATTACTTAAAATGCATCAACAAGTTTGAAATGTTCTGCAATATTTTGGGAAATATGGAAAGTGGATCTCAAAGAAAAGTTCGTTAAATAGAAGTCCGACTGTATTTGTGTGTGTGTATATGTATATATAGCATATAGGTACTTTAATGACTAATCCTAGTTTTTTAAAATTGCATTTTTGAATAATTTACTTTGTTAATCAGTAAAACTAAAATTTGGAAAATGTTAGAATTGTATCAGAATTATAACAATGTTAAATTTTAGTTTTTATATTATGAGTAGAATTTAAAAATTTTCATTACTAAATTTGTTGGCTTGTTGATTTCTAAAAAAAGCTGAATATATATGGTTATTCGAATAATTTGCAATTCTAATTCTAAAATGTCCTTCGGAATGTAAATTTTCTTGCAACCTGTATCCTCTTTTTGACTTAAATTTGGTTTATCAAGCTCTTACTGCATAAATTAATAAATGATACTATTTGTTTATTCAAAAGGTTATTTTCATAATAATTTTATCTATAAAAAATATTCATTGCTGGTTGACATCTCTGGTATATATATTTTTAATTTTTATAAATTTATGTTAATTTTGAGGAACTATTTTTCATCGCTGATTTTTTTACTTCAAAAAATCTTTGTCTGCCTTAGTTTGAAATCATAAGATTGCATCATAATGCTTGAAAATTTAATTTTAAATCAAGAATATAAGTTATTTAAGTTGTGTTATACAATTACTCACTTGTATATAGAAACCTGCTTCAATTAGCTTTGATTCATTTCACTTACAGATTTAATTTTTGTACTAAGCACGATCAAAATTTCTGTTACTTGTTGTCAAAAAGAAAACTTAATTGTATGCTTTTTATTAACTTTGATTCATTAAATTTACTTCTGTTAAATATAAAATTTAATCAACTGTAATAGTAAACATAAATCTGGCAAATGAATATTGAAAAGGCTGTAAGTTTAGCAGCATTGGAATATTTAAAAGTGTGCCAGAATCTTGTCAGTCATCTTGCTTTTGTGTATGTTATTCAAACTTTTTTTCCCTGTTACTCGATTTTTTTATCTATGATGTACAGGTATAGGACAAAATAATAGGAACACCTGTGAAAGAATAGAGTCGTTCTCGACCGTCCAATAAGCGGCGGGCACATGTCGCAAGAATGTGCCACCTAGTGGTGATGAAAGGCAATGTATCTGTCTAGGATTTGGCGGTGTGAGATTTGCATGAGAAAAATCTGTTTCTAGCAAAACGAGATTATGTTCGACCTCTCTGACCTTAAAAGAGGCATGATAATCGGAGCTCGCCTGGCTGCAGCGTCCATGTCCAGAACAGCGAACCTTCAAGGACTACTGTATCAAGGAGTCTGTCGGCATATACAAAGTTGGGTAAGGCGTCTTCGGCGAGGCACAACAGCGGCAGGAAGTGGAAGTTGTCAGACCGTGATAGACGGGTGTTGAAGAGGATAGTTGCTCGAAAACGCAAGACTATACTGCTGGTGATAACATCCGAGATGAATTCCCACCTTCAGAACCCTGTATCCATGAAAACTATTCAACGGGAGTTACATGCTGCTAACATTCATGGCAGAGTAGCTATTCCAAAACCGTTAGCTTCAGCTCGGAATGCTTTGAAGAGACTACGGTGGTGCCAAGACCACCTAAAATGGACACAACTGCAATGGGAACAAGTCATCTGGTCTGATGAATCCTCTTTTACACTATTTCAGGCCACCGGACGTGTGTTCGTGTGGCGAACGCCGTCATAAACAGTTCGTGTTGACTGCCTGGTTCCAACCGTGAAACATGGAGGTGGTTCTGTGATGGTGTGGGGCGCTATATCTGCCCGTGGATTTGGGCCTCTCATTGTCTTGAGGGGGGTGGTCAAAGAGGACCATTACCGAAGCATTCTTGAAGATCATCTTCACCCTATGCTTCATACTCTCTTTCCGGAAGTACGTCCTGTGTTCCAAGATGACAACGCCCCTGTTCACACATCTCACTGTGTTCAAACATGGTTAAATGAGCATAATGATAAAGTGGACCATCTAACGTGGTGTCCTCAGTCCCCTGATCTCAATATCATTGAGCCTTTGTGGGGTTTTTTGGAGAAAAAAGTAGGTGCTCGGTTTCCTCCTTCACGCACACTCTCTGAACTCGAGACAGCCCTGCAAGAGGAATGGCTGCAAATTCCAATGAACTTTGTTCAAGACCTTTATTTGCCAATCCCGCGTCAAATGCAGGCTGTCATTCAGGCCAAAGGTGGCCCAACTCCTTATTAATAAAATATTTTCATTTTTTCACAGGTGTTCCTATTATTTTGTCCTACACCTGTATGAAGTTTAGTCAAATAGTAAAATTAAATTATTATTTTTTCTTTTTAATTTTTAAGTTTTAATCTATATATTATATGTTAGTTATTTAAAATATATTAATAAGTTTTAATATTTTATTAATATATCTTGCATTTTTAATTTTGCAAATAAGTTTTTAATTTGTTGATTCAGGAAAAAATACTTGAAAATCTCCAAAAATGTCCTACAAACCTTAAAAATGCTTTAAAAACTCTTCATCACTATAAGAGACCAAAAATGGAAATGTTATCATTTTTTCAAATATCTCTCATGCTTATTATTTTCCTTCTTTTTCCTAGGTAAAATAGAATTAGTAAAATCCAAATGGATCTTGGCTATTTGTGCAGTAATGACTGTTTTTATGTCACTATTGATGTCGGTTGGTATTTGTTTATGGTTTGGACTTAATCCAGCTCTTAGTGGCAGGTAACCTTATAAGCTATATTTTTTCTGTGATGCAATTATAAGTTTTCCTTTTTTCTAATCATGCATTTTGTTTTAGTGAAATTTTACCATATCTCATTGTTGTGATTGGTTTGGAAAACATCTTAGTGCTAACAAAGTCTGTTGATTCAACGCCAATGCATTTAGATGTCAAGCTTCGAGTCGCTCAAGGTATAGAACATGATTTTAATATCTCTTATCTTTAAAAAAATCACTTTTTATAGCATAATACCAATAGAAATTAATTTATTTTTGCATAATTGAATACAAATGTTAGGTTCCTGCGGTATAAGTTTACCTATCATTTATGTGGTATATTATACAACTTATCCTGATGAAATTATTAAATTTACAATATTGATGTGTGTCAGCGTAGCCAAATACATAGTAGGATAAAAAAAAAAGAAAGAAATTAAATATTTGTGCACACAATCCAAAAGTATCTGCTGGCTCCTAATATTTTTTGAGAGCAGAATGTTTTTATTGCAATATAAAACATTTACCTATTTTACATATTTATTTATTTATTCAGGATAAAAAAAAACAATATATACATGCACATTAACATTAAGAACATTAGAGGAAGAATTATATAAATGGCTATAAACAAAAATAAAATTAAAGAATTGCATTCATATTAACACTAAACATACTGCAACCGGTCAAAAGACTGGTTATTGTATTGTAAAGTGTTGGTACGCTTAGTAATAAGTAATTATTTAAGAATTAAGTAATATTAATGATTTTGCTCCTGTAATTCTTCACAGCAAAATCCATATTTAATTTATCCAACAAACTTGGGGGCAATTTTGTTTCATTTTTATTAAGAAACAAAATTACATTAAAAAGTTTTCCTGTTGTCACCATAATTGTTTATATGCATTTTACAGCAATAATCTCGTTAGCAGGTGAGCAATAATTGCTCACCTGCTAACGAGGGGATCACATATTTTTGGGCTTAATGAGCAGTTTTATCTTTTTTCATCAGTAGCAGCATGCATACAACTAAAATTTTTTTTTTAATCTGCGCACATTTTTTTTCCATGGATATTTTTGTTTTTAATATTACAAAAAGTATCCACAAAATTGGAAAATATCTACCAATGTATTCGCACACGACGTGTGCGATTCCGTTTATATTATCTAACTATGGACAAATAGTTAGAGTCATTGTCCTGATAAGATAGAGGTACCGAAAATTTAAACATGTATGTTTAAATTTTTATTTATTATTCCTATGTCTTCTAGAAGTGTCTAGAACATGGTGCATAGCGTTTTTAAAAAGTTCTTAAAGGTGCTTATTTTCGTTTTTTAAAAGCACTTAAAGGTGCTTTTTTCATTAGGTGTTTTTAAAAAGTGCTTAATTTTCCTTTTTCTAAAATGAAATTTTTTTCTTTACAATGTCGATTTTTGCCATGTATTATGAGCTAGATTTGGTGAGATTCTTGCTCTCTTATGTACATCTCGCAGGGCCGTCTTTAAACTATTTGAGGCCCTGGGCACATTAGGATCATGGGGCCCCTATGACCTTGAGAAAACACTATTTAGTTACAATAGATAAAGAAAGACAAACAAGGTTCTAAATTTATTTTTATTTAGTTACTAGCTATAAAAAAATAGGAAATATAAAAAATAATCTACAAAAGTAACTCGCTTAACTTAAAATCCTTAGATTAATTCTATGTTGATTGCAAAGGTACCCTTCTAGATTTAAGATGAGCAAAATCGTTAATCACTTCTTCAAAATCTATGGTATTGAGAATATCACATTCTATGGACATCAGCGACAAACTATTTAATCTCTCTTGAAGCATTGTACTTCTTAATTCATTTTTTATTCGTTTCAATTTGGAGAAGGAGCGTTCTCCGCTGCAGTTAGTTACCATCATGCTTAAAAATATTCTCAATGCAATTTCTACGTTAGGAAATGTGTCTTCAATTTTGTTTTGCTTTAATAGATTATATACTTCCTGTACACTGTTAGATGCTTCATTTTCACTCTGAACATTTATTAAGTATTCTTTTAAATGTTGACATTCTATTTCTAACTCTTTTTCATTTACATCTTCGTGATAGATTTGAGAAAATTCTTTGCATCCTTGTCGTATCTCTTCGGAATTCAGAGTTTTTAAGTGAAAAAATAAACTAAAACGTTGACTGACGATCTCATATGAACTTTGTCGCTGTTTTAGATGAACACTCAAGGTATCGATTATTGGGAGAAAGGTTTCTACGTTGAATCGCTCTTTTCCATTCAATTGGACTGATGGCGCAGAGCCATCAAAAAAACTCTGCCGTGAGCTTCTACGTCTTGTTCTTTGAGATAGATCCTTGTAGTCAGATTCTGGGTTATTTTCTTTGGCAGATGATTCGAAGTTATCAAATTTATCCCTGAGGTTAGTAATAAAATCATAAAGTGAAGTCAACAAATTGGTTGCAACGTCCAGTGTTATTGTTTCTTTCTGAAGATAATTACTTGTTTTGTCTATTCTTTCCAATATAGTGCTCCAGATTTCCGTCAGTATAATAAATTCTAGATTTCCCATTTTTCTAGACAGACTAAGGGCTTCGTCTCTTGTTTCTCGTGCCTGTTCAGTATCGTTTGCGATGGTGATTAAAGCTTCTAATATTCTTTTATAACCCCCATGCAAAGCACTTACTGCATCAGCTCGGGCTGACCATCTGGTTTGTGAAAGACTCTTAACAACTTTTTTTGAACCTAAATGTTCTGTTAACATATTCCATCTGTGGGTAGAGCCCGAAAAAAAGTTGTACACTTTCTGAACTATTTCAAAAAACTGTGATGCCTCCGGTACACACCCAGCAGCATGGACACCTACCAAGTTTAGTGAATGTCCTGCACATGGTATAAAGGTGGCAAATTCACATTTTTCCTTGATTCTTGTTTGTAGACCACTATACTTTCCCGACATATTTGAAGCATTGTCGTAGCTTTGTCCTCTGCAATCTTTTATGGGAATATCATGTATCTCTAAAAAATTTAAGATGGTCTCCGCTAAATACTTAGATTTATGTTCTTTAATAGGTATAAATTTCAAAAACCTTTCAACAGGAACACAGTCTTTTACGTATCGAATGATGAAAGTTAGCTGGTCAATATGAGACAGATCGGGCGTACTGTCAACGCTTATGGAAAAATATTTTGCTGATTTAACTTCATTTATAATTTTTTTTAGAACCTGTTTTCCCATTACTTCAATAAACTCATTACAGATATTTGCTGATAAATAAGAAATGTTACCCTTTCCAGGATTCCCAAATTTTTTTAAGTGATCTGCAAGAAATGGATCAAATTCACTCAATAATTCCACACAACCCAAATAATTTCCATTGTTTGGAGATCCTAGGATTTCATTGTCGCCGCGAAATGGAAGCCCTCTCGATGCCAAAAATTTTACAACAGCTACAATCCGTTTAAGTACGTTTCTCCAGTAATCCACTTCCTTTTGATGTTGAGATAATAAGTCTATATCTACTCTACCAACCGCTTTACTTCGTGCCAGATAAGTCATCATAGATTGCTTATGCGCTGGGCTATTTTCATGTGTTAAAATTATGTGATTAATATGCTTCCAATCATTACATCCATTCCGAGAGCAAAGATTAACATCAGTTGGGTTAAATAAGCAGCATGAAAAACAAAATACAGAGCATTTGGAAGGCGAATACAGCAACCATTTTCTTTCGACGCTTTCATTGTTCTTTAATTTGCGAATAAATAATGCTTTGTTGAAATATCTCGTTACTAATTTATTACCATCTTTGTATGTTCTGGATGCCTCGGAAAAGTCAGAATCTTTATTTTGAAAATATACTGGTCCCTTACGAATTAAAATTTCGCGATTTATTTCAACAAACTTTTCGTGAAAATAATCGGCGGGATCGTGCGATATTAATTCTTCTGTGTTGGAAAACTGCTGTTCAATTNGGTATTGTAGTAAGTCATTATCATCAGATTTTTCAAAATTAATGTTTTTCGGTAATGTATCGGTTATCATTTGGTAATCTGGCAGGAACTAGGGGACCCCATTCGATCGCGGGGCCCTGGGCACGTGCCCATAGTGCCCAGTGGGGAAGAGGGGCCTGACATCTCGGCTGCATTTCGCAAGATATTCTCAATTTCAGGCTTCTTTTTCCACCCTCTGAAATCAAACTGAAAAATCTCCTGATCATTTTATAATGGCTAATATAATAAAGAAAAGAGTTCTTTGTCAGAAACTAGTTATTTTATCATAATCATGAAAATTATTTTGCATTTTGTTGATGTATTTAAAAATATTTGCTAAAAAAAATACTTAAAAGGTGCTTATTTTTTATTGACCCTGTTACATCATTTTCTGTTCCATATTTAGTTTTGTATAAGCTGATGCATTTTAAGTGAAAATCCCAAGTTACCTTGCAGGTTTTAAGTGTTTTAATAATCTGATATACTTTCTAGACTCATTTAATTTCTCTCTTTGTGACATTATTTTATTTTAGTATATAATAATATTTTGTGAAGCTACAAAACATTATAAGCATAAAGAAAAATATTAAGTGCCAAAACTCTATTTTGATGCTTTTAATTTTGATAAATGTTATTGTGAAATCATTCTGTTGTAACCAGTGCTCAAATAGAGTAAAAGAATATTTTGCTTCAATACTTTTGTCACTTGTTTGAACCACTAAAACAGTTGCAACCTGCTGATTTCAGCTTCTTACTATTAATGTTTCTTAACTTCCATAAAAATGACTTTTAGGAGTGTGATTTCTTTTAAGAAATATATATATAAAATTTTTTTAAAAACATGATAGTTAAGTGTGCACCCTCTGTTAGAATCGCAGTGACATGGCGGTATTGTCACAGAACGTTACAGAGTTCTTGTGGAAAGATTTATCGTTTGAAAAGTAAAAAAAAAATTTCTTTTCTACTGAAATTTACACGTGATATTTGAATCATGCATTTAGATAATAATTTTTTGGCCACACTCAATTCACGCCGATAGCATCGTAAATCGATGTAATGTTTGATTGTATTTTCGACAGTTATTGATATTAATTTTCACATGGAATTCTAATATCCCGATATATTTCAAAACAATATGGAAAATTTCAATCGTGCATTTGGGTATTTACTTTTTAATGCAATAACTCTATCAAATTTTTGGCAGCTATTGCTATTGATTTCTCCATAATTTTTAAATCTGATATATTTTTCACACAGAATTATTTACTGCAACAATCTAATCTCGAAACGAAACAGGCATTTGAGAAGTCGAATTCACGTGATTTCGGCGTCCATCTTTTTCTCTCCAATTACTACTGCAGATTTCATGATTTTGTATTGTGATGATTATTTACAAAATGCGAGGAAGGGAATAATTTGTGCGACTCCCCAACAAAATTCGAAAATATCTCCTCCCATAATATTAGAATAAAAAATTATTAGATGTTCAATTAAAAAAAATTATATTTATATTTTGTAAACACAGCGCTTTTGTTATTTTAAATCAGTAACGTATATTGTAATAATTAAAAGTATCATGCAGAAAGATGTTAGTGCTAGAGATGTCTGTCACTGAGAGCTCGAAAAAATTCTGCCACAGGGATTATGCATTTCTAACAATTTGGAAAAAACATTGAACTTTTTTTTAAGAAAATTTATTTACAATACTTGCGTGGTAGACAGTACTTATTGTACTAATTTTTTTCAGTTTAGACTTCTATATTAAATGCCTCACAAGATATTTTCATGAAATATATGGGCTGTGTGTGTATATTATCATCTTATTTGATGTTCAAAATTGTCTTTGCCTTTTCAGGTCTTAGTAAAGAAGGTTGGTCTATCACAAAAAATCTTCTTACTGAACTCGCCCTTCTCACTGTTGCCTTTCTTACATTTGTTCCAAAAATCCAAGTAAGTAACAGTCATGATGTTCATTCATATGGTAGGCAATCTTTTTTTTAAATTTCTACCTAGCCACTTTAAATCCGTTGTAAATAGCAATTCAGTAGACTAAAACAAATTACTTGAAATACTAAACATAAGTCAACTTAATAAATTTTGATAAATTTTAAATTGTTTTCATAGTTTAAAAAATTTTTGTGTTTTAAATTTAGTTGTTGGATTAGATAATTTAATATTTCATGATATACCTATAGTAAAATAATAATAAATACTTGGTGAAATAGTAAATAATTAATTGCTGTTAGGTGTGATATATTTGTAGTTGTTGTTTAAAGCTAAGCAGTCAGTTAAGAAGTTGCTAAAATATGTTAGGTAGTGTATTTTAAATCTTGTGTTTTTTATAAAGTTATCAGTCATTATTATTAATTTTCTTTGGTAATTTTTCAAAATTATTTCTTATTTTAAAGATTTATTTAGTTCTTTACATTCAACTGCAAAATGCTGTTAAAAATTTTTTTGAAATTACAATTCAATATTAAGCTTATTTGTGTGTTATTATTGTGTCCATTATTATTGTGTCTAATATTAAGCATATTTGTTTTAGAATTAAAGTATTATTGTGAATTAAAATTAATCTAAGTATCTTATTTCAATAGTCATCATTTAGTTATTTTCTTGAAAATAAAAGATAAAAAAAAAAAAAAAAAACTAAGTGTAAATTTTGTAATAATTATGTTGACAAAAAAATGGCTTTAATAATATTTTTATTTAACTCATTTTTGAATTTGTGTTTTAGAAAATGCTGCTAATTTGGTGTTACAGTGGGGTAAATGTGAACTTAAGCCACTTAGACATATGGCACTACGTTACATGCATATAAGATTAGTAATAAACTTATATTTTAAAATAAATTTTTTACTTTGTCCATAATTTTATTTTTGATACGTTTTAGATATTGATCTTTATAGATCAAAATAGCTTAGTTATAATTCAATAACTATCATAATTTTATTAAACAAAAAAAGGACTTTGTGAAATTCATTTAATTTAGAATTTTTAAAAAGTTTTATTGAACACGTGATTGAAAATGCATTTTTGGGCTAATTATTGACAGTAACGAGTAGATGGAACTGCCATTATCAACAAATTAGTTTCTTTATTTTTTTATATTTAAATGTTTGTATAGTTTTATTTAAATAGGGTTTTTGTAAAAATATATGTTTCAAAGAAATCGGATCTAAATTTTTGACAAATATAATTTTCGCAAAGCTTCATTTTTTTATTTCGAGAATAACAAACTATTTTTCACAAAAACAGGATGTCAAGAAAATCCTTAATCGACCATACATTTTTCCGTGAGTGTTTAATACTTTTTTAAGTTCTGTTTGTTGCCGTTTTAGAATTCTGAATATTACATGAGACTGTCATTTGATAGTAAAAAGCATTAATTCATAAAGTGTTAATGATAGTTTCAAGTAATAAGCATGGATTCATTTATTTATTATTTTTTTTAAGGAGTTCTGCTTGCTTGCAGTGGTTGGTCTTCTAACAGATTTTTTCCTTCAACTCATGTTTTTTGCTACAGTTTTATCTGTAGATTTAAGAAGATTAGAAGTAAGAATAATAATTAATGTAATCTTTTCATAATTTTATCAGGGGTGATTGTATTCCAGGTTTTTTGTATAATCCCTCCAGGTCTAGAAACTAGGAGCAGGTCATGTGATTTTTTTTGCAGAATTAAACGTATCTCAAGAATTCACGGACTTCAGAAGCATTAAAACTTATAATCCGATGAAATTTTCACCACAATCTAAAATTTGAAGTAAGAATTAAGTTTTTCAAACTAAAATTCAAGTTTTAAATCGCATTAACGAGACGATTTCATACACGTGATCTTCCGCAATATTATTATTATTAGTTTTGGTTTGTATAAATATCGCAATTTTTATATTAAACTTCGATGTTCATATTTACCTGATTTGAAAATTACTCATTGTGAATTATACATTGTGATTCGTTTTCTTATAATTTAAAAATCAAATTTCTCAATTTGTTTTTACACATGTCAGGGTGCATGACGTTTTTAAAAAGTGCTTAAAGGTGCTTATTTTTGATTTACATTTTTTAAAAGCCCTTAAAGGTGCTTTCTTTATTCGGGGTTTATAAAACAGGGTTCCCACCTCCTTAAAAGTCCTTAAAAATTGCTTAACTTTTATTTTGGAAAATAAGGGCCCTTAAAAGTACTTAATTTTGGTACAAGGTTTTTAAAAGTGCTTAATTTTTCGGCATCACTATAATTGATAGGAACAATTTTTTTGTTCAATGTTTTAAAACAAAAAGTCTTTCTTTTAACACCTCGAATTAGACCATGCACTGAGAGTGAAGCATTTTAGAGAGACAAGAAGGGATGTGTGTGAGAGGGCTACAGGCAAAAAGAAAGTATTAATGTATTGGTTCTTTCATTAATATATTCTGCCTCTTGTCTAGAATGATGCCTATGAGAAGAGTGACATTCTGAAGAAAAGAATAGAGCGTGGACAAGGGGGATACTGCACATGAAGGGATAGTGCTTTTTTTGAGGGTTCTAAGGTACTTAAGTAGGAGACTCACACTGATCTGCAAAATTGACAGAATTCAAGAAATTCAGTTTTACTTGTAATGCATCTGCTCATAGGAACAAAGTAAAACCCTAAGAAAAGAAGTATCGAAAAAAAAATTTGAACTAATCCACCACGAAAACTATTTCCAAAAATCTTGGAAGAATTAAATAAATTGGTATAATATTTCAGAGTGTAATAAGTAACTGTAAATTTAAAAAAAGCAATTACATTTTTTAAAATTCATGATTGTACTAAAAATTAAGCATATCTGTACTAAACAGGGTTTGAAAAATCCCATCCCACCTAGGTTTTACATCAAAAACTGGAGATTTATTGGGTTTTTGGTGAAAACCTGAAGTTTTTTCAAAAATATTGTAAATTTTATTCCTGAGTACTAAATAAGAATGCATGATTTGCTCCTAACAAGGAAGTTAAATATTTGGTAACTATTTATAACTTGTTTTGCTGCAATGTAAATTTTTTTTTAAAGTTTTCGATTGTTACGCTATAGTTTTTATTTCTTAAGGATAAACAGATTGTTACATAAAAATTTAAATCTACTCAATTAAAAGATCCCAAACTTTTTGTTATTAATGTCTATTGGAATAAAATTCAAACTTAGATTTTAATAATCATTTTTCTCAGTTAACATTGCGACTTAATATGCTGTTTTTTTTCTTCTAATTTCTATTCAACTTTTGGTTGCTTTAAAATTAGTATATGTTTTTCGTCACATTGTTTAGTAATATTATGTAAAATTAACTCCTAATATCAGTTTTGACTAGAAATAACTGTTAAGCTCATCATAAATGTAAATATAACACATTTGTTGTTGAGTAATAGTTTTCAAAGTGATTAAGTTACATACCGTTTTCAATATGTTTCTCATAAAATTTTTCAGTATATTTTTTCTAAACTAGTGATTCACGATAAAATAAAATATCAAATCATAGTAATAGTAGAGACTAATTTTAAGAATTATAGAGAATGATAAGAAATATTACAAGTAAATATCTATAAATGATGAAAAAGTAAATAATTTGTCAATATTTGTTAATTAAGTAGCCTTACCAATTTTCTGGCCATAGGAATGTGTTGATGCCTTTTAAAAATCATTTTAGACCCTTTTACTTATATGTTTCACCGAGAACTAATAAACATATTGGTGTGAAAATTATAAATCTTGAGCATATTGTATTTTTATTCTATAAAAATTTTTCTAAAAATATTCATTTCAATAAATTTTTTAAAAAAAAGGAGAAAAAAAATATTAAGTTTAGCCTTGTGAAAAAAAAGTGGAATGATTTAAGGCGCTTAGATATTAGTATGACCCGTTTTTACTTGAAAGAGGACTTGATTTAACATGACAAAGTTGAGAAAACTTCTCTCATGCATAACTCTAATTCGACTTCTTAGTTTTAATTTTTTTAATATATACCCTTATAAATGAAATATTTTGTTAATAGAAAAACAATATTTTTTTAGGCGTAACTGAATATTTGCCAAGATTGGCCCATTCCTGAATATGTGGTGCATGTCTAGTAACGAAATATAAAAACTTGTAATAATTTCTTTATTTGTTCTTTTTTTTTTAATACATGAAAAAAATTGCAAATTTTTATTTCTGTACCTAATTTTGCAATTCAATTTCAATTCAATGATTGAAAAGGAAATACAGATAAGTTTCATAGATGTCGTTAATCCTTAACAATCTGAAAATGTTTTAAAAAGACCCGACCGGGGTTTTCAAAAATTGTCTGGTCCTACTTTGGCGAACCCTGTTAATTAATACAATTTTATCAGTACTTACATTATAATAAAATTGTTTTTTATTATTTTTTTTATTTCTTGATTTGTTTTAAAGAAAGTTAAATAATAACATGGTCACTGGTTATATATATTTATTCAATGATAAGCAATCATACTATTTTTAAGGTCCTTAAAAGTGTTTAATTTTTGCTTTGTAAAAGGAGTGGGAACCCTGTAAAAAGTGCTTAATTTTCTATCTTTTAAGAAGAGATCTTTTCTTTGCCATGTTGATAGTCTTTCTAAATTACAAAAAAAAAAAAAAAAATGCATGATTTTCTCTGCAATATTTATCAGAAACTAGTTATTTTATTATGATTATGTGAAGTTTGTGAAAATGTTATTGAATTTTATTGATTTTATGTTCATAAATTATAAACTTTAAACAATAAAAAAATAATTTTTATTGCTGCACAAATCCTAATTATAATTTTTTTTTCTTTTCGGAAAGTGATAAAATTTTTTTTTTTTTTGAGTATTTAAAAAGTACTTAAGAGATGCTAATTTTTTGTTGAAAAATCTTGTTATGCACCCTGCAAATTTTTGAAATCAATATCGCGACTCTATTCACCCGAGTTTAAAATCCTGTATCCCTATTCCTATTCACAGAATCTAAAAATTATGTATCACGATTCCTACTTACGCGATTCAGAAATCCAATATTGCGATTTGTGTTTTTGCATTCTTAAAATTCAATATGGCGATTCATATATGTAATTTAATTATAAATCTTAGTCAAAAAAATTATATTACATATGAATAGTATATAAATCGATATCTTGTTATTGAGTTTTTGCATACTGTTTAATTGTTTCTTCGAGTTGCAACTTTCAAAGTTTTTCACTTCGTGTCACAATCACCCCTGTTTTATATTCTTCTTCAAAATCATATCACAATTGTTTGTACTGGAATAAGTCATGTTTTACTTGTGACTTTTTCCTAATTAATTTTAAGAAAGTTCTATGGTTTGTCTACCGCAAGAACTCCCCCCACCACAAAGTCTGAGGCCATCTGCTGCTGTGAAAACAAGAATTGTGCATTTCAGGGAGTGTAGCTACTCCTCACTATAGGGCTAACACAATAGACCGAAGAAAAATATTCTCTTTATCTCACCGACCTGAGTCAAAACCTGTCCTAAACAGTGACCCCGCTCCCCTACTTGAAATAGCTATACTTTGTTACCATGGTTACCGTCACGGGTCCAGACGAATGGCTAGAGGAGTTCTTACTTTATGCAAACTATATGTCTTATCAAAGTTTTTATTTTTTTATTTTTCCAATTAAAATCTCATGTTTAAATTTCCTATAGTTTGTCTACGGTAAGAGCTCTCCCTGACACAAAGTCTGGGGCCGTCTGCTGCTAATGAAAAATAGCGCATTTCAAGGCAGCTAGTTACTCCTCACTCTAGGGCTAACACTATTAACCGAAGAATAAATATTCCCTTTCACTCGCCGATTCGAGCCAAAATCTGTCCCTAAACAGTAACTCCACACCCCTACTTGAAATAGTTATACCTCGATACCTTAGTCACTGTCTCAGGTCCAGTCAAATGGCTAGGGGAGTTCTTACTTTAGACAAAATATATGTCTTACATAGTTTTTAATTTTGTATTTTTTAAATTGAAATCATGTTTGAATTTTCTTAAATTGATGTTATATTTTCTTGATTTATATTGTATAATATGTAAATAAACTGCTGTTTGTAGAAAATGCAACACCATGAAAGAATCATCAGAATCAAATGAAATTTAATGCAGAAACGACTTGTACTGATACAAATAAATGATGAAATTTTCAAAACAAAAGAAACAAATTAAGCGTCCGAAATCAGTATTTGGTGCAGCCACCACGCGCTGCAATAAGTGCTGCTATACGACGTGGCATGGAGTCAAACAGATGTTGAATATCTGCTTGAGGAAGAGAATTCCATATCGCTTGTATGCGCAACCAAAGTTCGTCTTTGGAAACTGCAGGACGCGGATCACGAGTGAGACGCCGACCAACCATATCCCACACGTGCTCAATAGGCGACATATCCGGCGAATAAGCAGGCCAAGGAAGAAGTTGCATGCGTTGTGCTGAACAGAAGTCTCTAACAGTCCGCGCAACATGTGGGCG